TGTCAACTGCCTCAGTCTGGACGTTCAAGCTCACACAGCTTGATGCATCATCCACCTGGGAAACTGTTCTGTTGTCGACAAGCAAACATTAACGCAGAAGTCTAATTGCTCGTGGAAACACAAACAATATCAATTAAGTCCAGAAAAACGTTATATTTGCTTGAAACATTTGTAGCATTGTTAAGTTGTACAGAATCGACCATGACGAGTTTACTTCAATTTTTGTCCTTTCCTGGAAACCCGACAAGCAATCGTGCATACAGGAGATCCATCTGTATATTCTCCAAAAATGAACGGAATAGGCCTAATGAAATCCACTCTGCTACTTCAGAAGGAGATCGATTCGTTCATATCCATGGAAATCGGAAGGGTGACATGTGACAACAATTGAGAGAGATGTAGCCTCAAAGTATGAACAGGTTATCACTATCTTTCGAGGATACTCGATATTTCCCACGCTCGGGAAACGTTCTAAAGCGGCAGACGTATTAGATTAAATGCTATTGACTTGACAGTGATAAATAACACATTTCTCCACTACAAAAGTGCTATAACAATGAATGCTTTTTAAATTCGATTTTGGCGAAACATAGTTTTGCTGTTCAACTGTTCTACTGCATAAAATAACTGTGGAAAAACTAATTACATCAGCGTTCGGTATCTGAGGAAATTTGCTACTTAAAAATATTTTGAAAATTGCGATTTGTGTATTTCCATCATGAAGCAATTTAGAATGACAAAAGTTAAGATCGTACACCGCCCAATAATTTACCGCTCCGTACATGTTTATTGATGGACATCACAATCGATGTCCCTTTTAATCAAATTATTTCAGGGGATTATCCTCTGTCACACCACAATCGCCGCCCGTTCCCAGAAATACTTGTCGTCGTTATGGTTGCACAACAACCTCCTCGACGGTCAAATGCTAGAATCCCTGAGGACATCCCCCTCATCAACGGGGCATTTGGAACAAGACAACCGTGCTTCAGTCACACAGAAAGTACAGTCACGTCAGTTGCAAAGTGCCCCTTCCTCTTCTCTCCGGCAGAAAGAACAGGGAATAAATCCCCAATGACGTTTGAGTCTTCCTTATTCTTGGAGTTTCGATTTGTTTACTACCGGCTAAATTAACCTACTACCTGCCGCTGTTGAAGTGCACGGTTCCTTTGGCATACCCATAAGGTTTATGTCAATCCAATACGCAACCCTTTACCCATTAAGACAGGGGTGGGTCCAGGTTTTGCTTAGGGATTCGGGAAAGTTTGTTGGGGGTTACTGCATGTTGTCGCCGTTGGTGAAGCTATTTCATCAAATTTTTGTCCTTAACCGAACACTCAAAGTAAGACATGGTTTACGCATTTAGGGGGATCTTCCAGTCGTTAGACGTAGGCCCCTAAATAAATAGCAATTAGTAGGAGTTTGACGCTACCCCTTCTGAATCTATGCCTCTAAAATTTCGATTTCCCTACAAAGAACTATTCCTTTAATCATCGTGATGGGTTACTAAGTACAATTATCAACTGACGAAACCAGTGTGGAGCTGGTGACCTTTACTACGGTACTCAAGGTAAAAAATATATTCAGAAATAAGTTATTATAGTTTCACCGATCGATAATCCACACGGGGCACAATGCAATCCCTCAGTGACAGTTACACAGGTTCCCCAGTTTGAGGTTTTAATTAAGAAGAAAAAAATATAATTCTTTTCAAATACAATCTCACTTTGTCGATGTAACAGATAAAAACACACAAATTTCTGACCACGATAATCAGTGGTCCTCACCGTGGAAAGTTAGATGCTGCAATTTCAAGGATGTGTTGGAAGTTATACAAAATAAAGGTCACACTCTCTGTAACTACAGGGGGCCTCCGGGCACGTGATCTCTCCCCTGTGGAACTCTGTAAATTGGGTATATCCTCTTCCTTGACAATTTGAAATGTAAACAGCCACAGTTATTGCTCAAATGTCTTTTGAAAATAATATGTACATCCCAAGGGCATCCTCAGAAATTTCACTCTTGTCAGCCGCGCATCTAGGATGGGGGGCTCGGAGCAATAGCTGCTGATGTTCAAGCCCCCCCCCCCACCACAAGGGACTGGGATTTACGGCCTGCAGAGATGACACTTCAAGAGGTAGGTGTATATGGTATCTACATCTTTCAGTAAGAAAAAATATTAAACCCAGTGGGGAGGGGGCCCCTAGGGCACGCCACTGACTCTACCTGTAGTTATTTACAGGTCCTTGGTGTTAGAGTTTGGACGCACATCGATACACGCGTACGCACTGAACTGTGTGCCAAAGCACCCCCTTATTCAAAATGTTACCCCCCACCTTGGAAAATGTCGGAGATCTTTTAAATCTTTTAAAATGTAATTCAGCTCCATCAAGCCCTCAACAACCGAATCTTGAATGAGACACTGAAGATGGGTGGTGTAAACATGACACAAGCGGCGAATGATGTTGGTCATGGCTGTATATGCTACCTGTGTTTTGGGCAATTACCGATGACAGGAAAAGGTATGCGCCAGGGACGTCTTACGGGTTGTCCGTGACTCTTAATCAGATTTCCCTAGTTGTGTGCCCAGAACTTTTAAAGTGCAGGTCCGTGAAGTTAGACCTGAAACGTCGAAACACACCGCCTCAGCAGTTTGGACTTCTAGAACGTGCACCCGGAGCTGAACTCCGGAAGGAGCTCTGAAGTGCAGGGACGTCAAGGGGTGGTGTAAATAAATCAATCACATGCGCAGAACCTTCCAGTTAAAAGAGCGGACTGGAAAGAGTGGGGTCCCTTCGAAGGGCATTACAGAACCCTGAAGGTTTTGCGGAAACAATTTCTTTAATTAGGGGAGAATCTGAAGGGGTGGGGTGTTGACAGGGGTCAGCACAGTCGCCCTTGTCAGAAAATACTGCTATGTTTCCTGCTACACGGAGATCGTAGGAAGACAACGGTTGCTAAATATGTCTCAAAACAGGTAAGGGCCCTTAAGCCAGGTGCCCTTTAACTAAATACATCAATGTTTTAACGAGCAAACACGTAAGTCATCCTGCTAAGCGTCACACTAAGATTTCTGTTGTAATTTTTGTTAAGAGTGTACGTCTACGCCATTATCACAGCTGTTGCATACAAACGTACAACGCAGCGAATACTATGTAGCATGGTAACCCGACACACCAATCTCATTAGATAATACACAGTGCTTTTTGCTGATAATCTGATATTTAGAATTTCAACACGTCAGAAATTCCCAATAAGGCAGAAATATGGTGCGAATTGAAGATCTATGTCCGTGGATGTATAAGAAAATCTGTAATGAACTAGAAAAGAAATACAAGCTAAGGCACACACACTTTCCCGTTTTTCTGTCTTTTTTCAAACATCTATAGCTTTTCACGATGTAGGCCTACGTGTACTTACCCGAGTAAACTTGTGACTTCTTTCACAAGCTCTCGGACAAGCACTGAGTACACAGTGTTAAGAATACACGTCAGTGTAAGGGCAAAACACGTAATCAAAATACTCTACGGATTTGATGCGCTTTTGATTTCCCTCAAATTGTGCCTAAAGCTAGCTACTCTCTCGTTCTAACAATTATCGCAGTGGTATTTAGGCCAATGGACAATGCGGTTGTTGACCTTCACTGCCTGTCCTCAAAGATTCCTCCCCCCCAGACTTTTCTTTGTTACAAAAACCAACATTTTTAATAGTTGAATTGATTGAGGTTCGGGGGGGGGACGACCAAGAGGTTGTTACCCTTTTGTGGTTCAAACACCAGGAGTATAACAGCTAGTGGTATAAGTGCCTGGTTCCACGAAGTCTCATAAGTAGACTATCCCTCAAACAGATTCTGTACATATATCCCTGTCATTTGGAATTCTTATAACAGTACAATAGTTGCACGCTTCGGTTTTGTTCATGGGCTTGATATTATTTCAGAGACACAGACATGGATATCTTCTCATGAACCATTTTTATTGATAAAGATGTTTCTGTAGATTTTCTCTGGGCTATGGTGGTGAGAGTATTTTCACAAACAATTCACCAAGATTGGAATTTAAAATCCCACAAAAGGGATATGATATGCAGTCGCCCACGACCACAACCACGTGGTAATCAAGGTATTCTGTTTCGTGCGCATGTGTTGTAACTTAGCCTTTCGTCAAGGCCTTCGCGGCTGTGTTTATGTGTAACTATAAAGCGGCTGGACTGGAGACCACATGCACGAATGGTGCAGCCACGAGGCCTTTTCGAACCTGTCAGGAATTTCTTATGTTTTTCTTCACGTTTTTCGATTTTTGCTAGGGTAGCAAAAATCTCAACCAATCATAAGCGAGGGGGTCAGCACACATTAACCTACTATGTAAATTGAAAGTATACGAAAGATGGCGAGCGCGTCAAGTGTGTCGGCGGCCGTGAGTGCAGGTCAGTTGTCTCTTTTCCTACCTCCATGGTTGTCTGAGCAGTATTTGGATAGTTCTGCTGGATAATTTCACCTTGCCGAGTTTAAACCGTTGCATCGTTAGGCTACTGAAGAATCTGTACGCAGTTCGTGACGTTTTCGTCTCTATATACCCACGGGATATGGTGAGAGTTCCATATTTCAAGCACTGCCGTTTTGCTTTGACCATTCGGCCTTTATGAACTGCTACTTGCTAGTGTTACTCCAACGTCAGCACCGTCCCCCACCAACAAGCATCATAGTTGTCATCTCACCGCTTATTGCCCTCATGAAAAACCAGATGGAACATTGTGTAAGCTTTGGAGTTGATGCCCCTTATATCGGAGACTCATCTGCTTCAACTATTTACATGAAATTTATGAATAATGCATATCAGAAAGCTTAGGAGTCCGCAAAAACCTCAAAACCAAGTAGGAAAAGGCCTTGTGGGTGCGCCACTCGCCTGGTCTCCTTTCCACTCGCTTTGCAGTTACACACGCACAGCCACGAAGGCCTTGACGAAAGGCTAGTTGTAACTAAGAATCAGCTCAGATTCTCCTTTCTAGTACTGTAAGCACACATTTATTCTATGGGCTTGAAGAGCCACCAATTTTCTTTTAACAGAACAATATCCAACTACAAGTATAACTAAAATATTTCGAATATCGAGATACCTGCCCCTGACAGCATTTATGTAAGTTTGAGATTAATATTTTGCTTACAGAGGCATGCCAAAATATGTTTAACAACGATGTCATAAAGCAAAATAGTGAAAAAATGAAATCGAAAAAAACCCCTTTATTTTAGATATGCCCGTCCCTTTGTGAAGATGAATACGAATTGATGTCATTTAAATAATGTTAATTATGTAAATAATGAACTACAGTTAAATAAGAACCGCAGCGAGTACCTTCTGTTTAACTGACAAAGTTTTAAGGTCAGAATCGTCATTATTAAGATATCAACTGTTCATACAATATCTGGGCTCTATTTCATGTCGTGGCTTACCATTATAAAGCTCTGGAGTTATTTCTACTTCAATTCCATTCATTTGATTTTGTATGTCTGCCTTAACTTACAGATACCTTGATATAATAATGAACGTTCTGAAACTATTTAAGAAACCAAGTCCTTCAAAAGAGTAACTTGAAGGACGCAATTATCGGAGATGAGGGGACTGAAAATACAAAAAAAAAAACTTCCAACCTTCTGGGGTCCGACACACGACACCCTTTTTTCCAGCTATAGAGGGGGAACTGTAAATTGTTATATGACAGTAAATTAATTTTGCACTAATATTGTGTATGCCCGCACAACACAACACACATTCGGACAACACACGTTGTCTGAATTCTTCGAGACTAAGGTCTCGAAGAATTCAGACAACCTGTTTGTTGTGCGGGCTTAAAGACCAACTAAAATGGTTTTAAAAGTTTTGAAAATAAACTATTATTGTGTTTAGTGTGTGATAAATCATATATTCTTTATCATGTCTGTGTGACGTCTGTATTTTTTGTAATTTTCCCGAAACTTTTGAATGGTGGCTTCAACTTTTATGAAAAATTTCCACAATCTGACCTCTGGCGGCGCTGTTGAGAAACGAAATTTGTACGACGTAATACCGGAGAAAATATTGAACTGGTATCCGTGGCACGACTGGTTCCGCTAGAATGTACGTGTACATGACATGGAGCTACATGTACATGTGCGTGCACGTTCACCGCGTACTGGGATCAATCTGTTTGGCGGGTCTACTTTGCCTCATTATCTCTTTTCCGTCGAGAGTTTATGCTCCTTTCTTGATTTACAATAACGCCGAAATCGTGCGTCATTGGTGGATGAACTAGAGAGAACCTTGATCGAAATTCTTTGAGTTTCCGAAGAATGAGAGCATTCTTCAAGTTCGTGCTGTCGTCCACGGCTACGCGTGCTATGCATGCATATAACGCGCGCATTTCCTCTCGACGGAAATAACATCACAGAAATCAATATTCATCAGATGCTAATGAGTCATGACGACACGTCTATTTTACAATACCGGACTGGACTCGCAGGAAAACTGGGTACAAAAACTGTGGTTTATTAACATAGCAACGCGTATTTCAAGGGAGATGTTGACTAATATGTGCCAGTTTTATTAGACTGGGCACTTCTGAATAGGATTCAATATGAGAAATATTAGCATCATTGGAGTTAGTCTTTAAATGTCAAACCAGTGTACAACATGTCTTGTACACGTGTATAATGTCTTTTGTTTTCATTTCCAAAACTTTGTCGTATGTTCCTCATATCCTTTTTATAACAGAATAAAAGGTTCTCTCTCGAGCACTGGAATAAAAATGATTTGACTACTTGGAGATAATTACCAGAAGTGCAAAACTTCGCATTTGTGTTCTCGACAAACCACTAGTTTAAGATCATCCATCCATAGCATTTGCAGTAAACCTCCACTTTCAAACAACACTGGCGGGCTCTTGCACTCACTTTGTCCCGTATTCAAAACTTTAAGACCTTTAAATCGGCCCTGAATTACCACCCTGGTGCCTCCTACGAGCAATTCATATATACCCTCAGATTTATCCCCGGTTGTCGGATGCTTTTTGATTAGATCACCCATATTGTTCCACACTCGCACACACCCATCACTGCAAGCGACTATCGAGTTATTCACTGACATTAAACGTAGCTCAAAGTCAGTAATTGTTGCGAGCTGTTTCTTAGACACCATATTCCAGAAAAGAAGTGTGTCCCGAAACCCACCAAGGAGGTGCTCTCCAACGATGTGGCAGCAAGTGAATCCCACTGAAGGCAAGAAGACGTGCAGGCACACGCCCTGTTCGACGTCCCACAACCGCACGGACTCAGCAGCGCTAGCAGCTCGCGTATCACTCAAAGCCAGATCCTTTATTTCACTGACATGGCCTTTAAGTACATGACGACTGGAACCATTGAAACTGTTCCAAACAATGAGCTCACTTGGCCGGCATGATGAAGTCCCAATCAGGGTTTTGGTATCAAATCGCAGCTTCTTTGTTGGGGCTTCGTCATCTTCTTTATATGACATCATCCAGTTCGCAGATTTGCAGTTGAATAAACGGATTGTGTGGACGAAGCAGTCATTCTCGTACTCTGTGGCTAGGCCTACGCCTTTTGACACCTTACAAGATTGTGCAATCCATCCCGGGTGAGGTAACAATTTCCTTTTGTAATAGTCACTGTCCTCCGTATTGCTCCCTGCCTGCCCACCAACGTCATGGCCTCCATCGCTCTTTTCCAGCGACCAAATGCTCACACCTTCATTGAATGCATACACAACAAACTCTCCATCAGAATCCCAAATGCCATCACGGCAGTCTACACCGCTCAAGGAAATACAATGTTTTTGAAATGTCCCTGTCTGCCAGTTTGCCTCCAGCCGGCTTGCCCGTATGAAAGCTGTTTTCAACTTGCAGGTTGGCATGAGGTTTGCAGAGTAACCTTCTTGGATTACATCATCAGCCTCGTACTTCAGAAAGCCTGTCTTCTTGCTAAGGTCCAAGTCAGTGCCGTAATGTTCCCATCCTCTGTTCTTCAACAAACGTCGCCACAGTGCATCAGAGTTAGACTTTTCGCGACAAGATTTACTGCAGAGAGATACCTGGCACAGTTCATTTGCAGAAAGGTAGGACAGAACAGCGCATGTGATTTCATTTGGAAGACTGCTCAGAAAATCGGTGGTGAACATCTTTGGATACTTTGAATTCCTTGCAGCTTCAATATCCACGAAAAGAACTGTGACGAAAGATAAAGCAAATCTTCGTAAGAAATCGAGCCAATGGCCAGTCACATTCATGGACAGAGCCATGTTCATCGTTACCTACCTACGTGTTACCGGTGAAATTCCTTCCAGGAAGAATGGGAAATCCACTTCATCAGTGAAGGATAAAGTACCCATCGAAACATAAAGAGTATGCCATGGACGTATTCAAAGTGTAGCATTGCGGAGCATACCCAACAAATATTAAAATCCCCACACTTTCTGCTCACACAATCCGCGTAAATCAGAGCAAAATGACATGACCTCAAATTTCTCATTGGTTAAAACAGCACATCGTTTACATGGATATGCAAAGTCAACCAACGTCCATGGAACTTCACGCTTAATGGCCTAACAAACTGTGCAAAAATACACACTCTATGGGGGTATACGTTTTGGCGAAACAATCACAATGAATGACTTCATTAGTCAAGGTAATTGTGATTGTGGCTGCTCAATTCCGGTTTAAGTTCATTCGCAAAGAATTGTAAAGGAACTTTGATATTTTCTGCTCATTTCTAATAAAAAGAGCTACTTCCTACAGTGATTGGTGGCGTGTGTAAAATCACAAGGAACATATACTGTCCGTGTAATCTAAGACCGTCCACATTCTAAAGATCATCCTATCTCGGGAGCGCTAGCGAGGTTGCAGGTTTTTCGAATTATCAGATCTTTTCACTTGTCCATTAGGCTTGTCATCGTGGCCGTGGAGGATATCTGTAGTAACTTAAAATATAACAACTAGGCCCTAGTACTAGGTACTAGTACCCTGACAGTTCCCTTCTTGATGTTATCGGCTACGCCATAGGCACTAAAAAAATAAGAAGCCACTTATGTTTGATATCAGGTGGGGTTGTAAATGAATTAACTAAAAATGAAGGTGAGGTTGTGAGGCCTAACAAACAAACCACCTCGGTAATCAAGGTCGTACCTAGCGACCAGACCAGCTGAAGAAGTCATGCGTCGATTAAATCTACAAAGAACTGAAGCTGTTAAAACCAATGGTCATCTAAACACTCATTTCTAGACTTACAGAGAATTTACTTTGGACGATTTGCCCCTACGTGGGATGCGTTTTCTAAATCGTTGTAACGGTGTAGACCTTCGTCTTGTGTAACCATAAGCACTAGACAGCTTTGTTATTTTCTGTGGGCCTAGAATTTAGACCAACCATCCTACGCCGCACTAGGGCGTAGATTTTGAAAACAACTTAAAACCTGGTTTAATTTTTGCAATAACAGGTATTCAACTTCGTTTTGCATCCTTTAAATACATGAATGTGCTTTACGTTTCATCTAAGAGGTTACAACTAAGTGATTGGGATTTCGGTTTGCCAACAATGTGCAATCTTATGCGTTAAAAATCTGTCTTTTAAAGTGACCCCCTAAGTATTGAGTATTTATTTTCATTTGCTGTAATTCAAATACGCAATACATGCGTTCTATTTGATTACATGCAAAATATACAGGGTTACACAAATCATGACACCACTTTGATAATGAATGTAACTCATGAACTGTTATCAAACTGTAGGCCCTACACAAATTAAGATCTTTATGATTTTTCCGTATCTCTCCGTTCAGCCATTGCAAAAAGGCCTTTGTGAACTTAACTTGGCAGTATGATGCGATTGTCCCAAAAACGTAGCAAAAGAAGGAATGTTTTCTCAACGTTGGTGTTTATATACGTGTAGGATTTGGACAATAGCTAGTATGTTTCCAAGGTCAAAATGAATGGTTTATTTCAATCGTGAATAAGCATGTTCTAAGTATGTAACGTCTGTTAGCACACAAACGAATTCCAGTTCTGAACCAGGCATACGCAATCACCTGCATATTTTTTTTTTCAAATAAAAATACATGCAGGATTGCGGAGGTGTATTTGACTTCACAAAAATGAATGTCAGCATACTGAACCAGTGCAATATCGGAAAACTGAACACTGACTTTATCTGACTGAATTTGAATGCATCCTCATAAATGGAGTTTTTATTTGTTAGACCTAATTAGAAACGGGGATTTGAATGTTCGTTCTATTTCGCTCAAAAACGAATGCTGCTATTTTCCTAATTCACTGACACATTTTCCGAAATTGGCTGGGCCCAAAACCTGAGTCAAAAAAGACTGTTAATCAGATGTATTATGGGAAGCCTTGGACTTGGAGTAAACGATACAGGCCTACATGATATGGTTAGAGACATTCATCTAATTCCGACACCATGACGACCTGCAACATAATTTTAAGTCAAATGGCATAAAATGCCCAGAGAAATGCTTACATTTACGAAGAGAGACAAACCATCAAGGAAGAAACTTTTATCCGTGTGAGCAAGATCGCACAGAAGAAATCAGTCAGGTCGTGAACTCATATATAGTCCGATCCAGCCGGCCTCCAGCGTCGTGAGGTCGCAACTGGGCGGCTTGCTTACGTAACTCAGTCTGTCACTGGAGGGCTCGCTTTACAAGAAGGAATATCACTGGTGCACTGAACCNCAATGTGTTGTTTGGTCCTTCAGATTTCATTTGATTTTCAATTTTTAGTAGGTTAACCGATGAATTTTAAAATTTTAAACAAACTCACCCCTCAAAAAGTGAACGTTCCCCAGTCGTCTCAGCGGCCATTTTTCAAATGACATCCCTGACCTTTCTCAGGCTCCTCTGACAAATGTTCAATCCCATTTTTGTCTGCTTTGCCCCCAGATGGGTGCCCCTGAATCTACAGAGATGATCCTGGGCCATACTGACACAATCCCACCGTTTCTTGGCCCAAACAGACCCTTCTTTTCGAAAGAATCTGTAACGGTACTTTTTGTGCGTCTCCGCCAGGCGGAGAATTTTCCTTGCATTGGGACACTGCACCCTTATGGTACAGACCGGTAAATAAACTGCCATAGCCTTAACAGTGATAAACACCTGAACTTCCAATAAATCAGGAAAATACTTACTAGTTTCTCAGGCGTCAGAGGATGCACATCAAATTGAAGCTCATTCTGTGATTTTTTATTTCCTTTTCGAATTGCCATTCATGAATCGATGATTTTTGAAGATGTTTTTTCCACATGTGAAGTCACCCCTAAAAAGCAGTCGTGAAGTCCCTTATCGCTGTTGAAAAATTGATGCCACACTTCTCAAGAAATGGACCGTTTTCAGGCACCAATTTCTTCCAAATTTCACTCAGATACAAGCTTAAGTTGCATTCGTTCTGGTCGCCTAAACCTATCTTTTCTATAAATCTTCAAGTTCATGGGCCACAAAATGCTCAATTTCGTAGAGAATTTACGTGCATACAAATTCTGATTTGGAAGGTGCAAGCAATTTTGTGCCTTTTTACTGGCCTGCACTGAAAGAGCAGGTTTGAGAGACGCTACTAAAGACCTAATTCTACTTGATCGACCGACATCGCCCGATGGATGGTTGGGACCATCTAGTCCAACAGCTAGAACCAGTCTCGGGGCTTGGTCACAGGTTGGCTCAGTTATCAATGGTCGGTTTAGTTTATAAGTATAAAGGGAACCATTCACATAGAAATATTATTCAAGATGCCATTGACCTTTCTCCTGCTAGTTGCAACTAATGGCAAAATGAACGGGCCTAAATTTTGCGGGAAACGGGGTATATATCCCCCTTTTTTTACCGGGGGTGATGGGCTATTGAATCATCCGCCATACTTTTTCGTGGTGAGAAAAAAATTAAGGCGGACTGTGAAGAATTTTCTTTACTTCCCATCAACCAAAACATATTCGACAGCACTCAAAAAGGGCGAACAATTAAAAAGTCGTAACTGTCAGTCTGACTTAAGATCCATCGGTATAGCGAAGGCATTTTCTTGGGGGGGGTGTGTGCCAGGGTCAATTTGACGACTGGTCAATGTACGTCAATAATTCATGACGTCAATTTCAGTTTCATTTGCCGACTGACCCTTTATTTGCCGACTGAAAAGAATTATGGGGGGTGCAACACCCCCAACCCCCCCCCGCTCACGTCGCCGCTGTTAAGATCCAGTATAAATGTAATACCTAATTATTACAGATGTACATTTGTATCGAGAGAATCACCCCTGTATGGTGTCGTATGGTGTCAGTACCCCCCTTTCAAATTTATATAGCCGTTCAATTCATCCCCATACAACTCCCCAGCCCATCCACCCCCCCCCAAAAAAACAGCACAAATTTACGCGACTGTAAAATGTGATTTTACAAAACAGCCAGGGCCCTCTGCATGCGACTGTACCGCGCGTGCGCATTGTTAATTAAAAAGCAACTGACCAGTGTTCGAACAGTAACTGTCGCCTGAATTTACCCATATGGACTCATTTTACTGTTGGATGTTTGTTGAAGCTTGGGCTATTCGAATCTCAAGGCTTTGACACAATTTCCAGTGTTCGTCCTCTAAATGTGTAGAATTAACGTGTAGAACTGACCACTAGAAATTAGTTTAGGCGTGTGAGTGACGTTTCGTACTGCTTGCATCCTGTCATCCATCAGATCTTATACAGGGAGTCTTACAAGTCAATATTTTTGGTGGGTCAGATTAATCAGGTTCAATAATGAAAGGCATCATTCTCTCACACCATGTAGAGTGATCAGTAATGAACAGACTGCAATGAGGTTGCTTCAGGCCACTTTGTTCGTTATTTGCAACAAGAAACAAAAGATAGTACGACAGCGCAAGTAATCCTGGCGCAATGTGTACGACGGCTGCGCCTTGACTGATGGACACTGATACAGACCGAAACATCAGTCTCTCAAACGTAGGTTTATTTTATTCCACATTTTGAAATAAACGATTTTCATTTAGTAAGGTTAATTTTCTCTTTCAACCTTACAGGACCTGCGAACAGTTATAGGTGACCCGCTCTGCGAGAAAGGAACACTGTGCTATTTCACACTAAGGGCTTTTGTATATGGACAGAGTGCTTTTTTACTTCTTGGTTTATTGGATTCTGTTACATCAGTACTTTCACAATTCATACAAAAACCTAACTGTTGCTATGGGTATCAAGAGTTTTTCTTTTTGGCTGATTTCTTTTTCCACTTCCTGTGTTTAAAGGGCTTTATCTCTGAAAGCAATTCTGTTATTAAATGTGTATGATATGATTATGCAAAAATCAATATATCTCCAGATTGCAAACTGCCACAGGGTTCAAGCCTACACCAAAATAAAGATTTTAATGTAACCAATTACAATGTGTAGGCCTATGTAACTCATTTTGAAAAGAAATGCCCCATAATACCCATTTTTGTGGAGCTGGTCACATACGGCATGTCTTACATCGCTGATCAGCTGCATGATTGTGATGTTGTAGTTACAGGTGATTTCAATCCTAATCTCTTTGCAACTAACACGGATAAATAGGATTTGTCATCAGTTACAATGGTTCAATCTCATACTCCAACTAGACTTTAGAAACCAACTCAACCTGTATTGATTTAATAATGGCATCCAACAAAAGCAAAGTTTCCTCTATTGGTAATATTCCAACAGGGTTGATATGTTTTGGTGAAAGCTGTACGCCATAAGAAGACCCCGGGGTTCTGAAAGTTAGTTCGGAGCTTTTAATCAGGTAAAGTTCAACAGGATCTAGTGAAGTAAACTGGAATGATCTCTTCGCTACTGCTGACTCGGATTTCAGCACGGGATATATTCAAATCCAAATTTCTTAGCATTGCTGACAAGCATACTCCCGTTTTTTTTCGGATAAGATAAAACGCTACTTACTACCAGATTTGTCTCCAAGGATCGAAATTATTTAAAATCTGTTGCTTAATTAAGAACCAAACAAATTAATGACTGGGCAAGAGATCGCAAAGTTAACAATCTAACTGGAAAGGTAAAAACGTGTCACATAAAAATTTTCATGAGCAGTATACCCAAAGATTCTGTTTATTTGACTCCAGAATGAGTAATAGCTAGTTCTACTCACTCAGATGGTGAATACTTTAGGTCTTGAATGACCAATTATGTGAGCAAAGAGTTCAATACTCATTAAATTTGAATTTACTCAAGACTCCAGAATGACGCACAAACGAGTAATTGTTCACATTTACTCACTAAAAGGCAACACAGGAAATGAGTACAATGCGCAAATGCTCACTGACAATAGACACACATTATGAGAACTCAGGCTCGTTTCTCTGCGAGATTTACACACATTGCGTGTATTTATTCTGCTATGCAACTTTAAAAATGGGTACATTCAATGAGTGTATGCTATGCAAGAAGGTGAATTTCTTTACATTCCCAGCAAGTAATTCAACACATGTTTGATGCAGTTACTGAGTGGAATGGGCCAATTATTACTCATTCTGTGAGTTTAAGCTATTTAAGAATGTTTATGTTATAAACATTCAGTTGGTGAAGGTCAAAATAATCCAGCATTTTGTTTTACGTCTCCTCTCATTACAAAAACACCATCACGGGGAATATTTAAGCAGTTACACCGAAATGGACAGACTCGGAACTACTTGATCAACAAACTTCCAACACGTTGCACTTTCTTTGGGGGGGGTCGTCTTTGTGAGTAATGTCCATCACTTATTATTCAATAAATGCGAGTGTACTTTTGATGCGCTGAGGGTAGGCCATATCGAAGAAGGAGTAACAGGTCATTAGACATAATGGCCTCAACAGTGCCGGTGACCTGGAACAGTTCGGACGTTTCTGCACAGATGACAAATGTTGCCTTGGATAAGATTTCTTCTTTGATGTGACAGATGTGAGGCTTAACCAGGGCCGATGTGTCCTACAAAATAAGTACGGGCAATTTGCTTTGAGTCTCCGAAGTCATTTACTAATATTCTGCCTTTGCCACCATTGTGTTCCCACAACCACACTTTCCTTGCTTTACGTTAAAACATGAACCATGATCACGTCAGGAAGGAGGAAGAAACAAGTATAACCTCTGAGAGATATGTTTCCTGAATATTTTTCTTGTTAGTGGTACTGCTTGTTTCGCAGAAGGGTTTGGGGTTTAATCACCACATATAATACCTTTGCTTTTAATCTCTTTAAAAAAAGCACGCTAAATATTTGAACACGCGGTGCGTTCAGACGTGAACGTGTTTAACATGTAAAGCACTAAGAACCTGTTTTAGGGGCTTAAAATTGAATTCATTATTTTCCGCCGCTACTTTTACGGTGCCGATGAAATTCAAATCTCATGTTGTAAGTGGTTAATTTAAGCTCATATAGCGTACTACATATGGACGCAGAGTGAATTATCACTTGATCATTACACCAAAAATAAACACCGTGTTTAGGCAATGTGCGAGCGTGCGTGTACGCGCATGTGCATGCGCAGTTCGATCTCTTTTCGCGCCCCCCGAACGTCTTCTGGCTGTTATAAGTTACAAATGTAGAGGACCACTCGGAGTTGCATTTCTTCATTTGTTACACAGGTTCGTGCATATAACGTGCACAGATATTTCAGGATCTTGGATGGATAAGAAATAAGGTCTGTCAGCAGTATTTCAACCGTTTTTGTTCCTGCATTAAGTCGTAGCAGTTAGCTTGCCACTCTTCACATCAGTGCGTGTGACTTGAACACGTGTATGTGATTGTTACCTAATATTGTGCAGTGAATAAACACTGCATCCTTTTTTAAGGGTCAAAGTGTTTAAAACGTGCTTCAGCCTGTACACTTGTTTAGGCGTTTAAGTGATAAACACACAAACGTGTTTATGATTACAAAGTGTTTAAAAACATAATTTTGCTGAACACATCCACATATTAATCATAAAATACGTTGCGTTTATTAAACAAACAGTGTGTTCAGCATATAAACATGATGGTAGGTATATTTATAAACTGTCAAAATGTTTAAAAAGTGCTACAGATTTGCGTTTAATTTCCGTTTAGAAGTTAAGAAGGGGCGTGTTTTATGACTCGTGTAATATCAAGTCAACCACAATTTTACTATGCAAATGAGTAAATAATTATACCCCCATACTTCGCCTCAACCGATGCATTCAAAGGTCGTTGTGTCACTAAGGAATTCCATATCTGCTGTCGCCCGTCGTCCGTCGCATTTTGCTTTTTGTTGTGTCCCAATTCTGCCATTTACCACTTCCAAACATGCCATTTTCCGACGTCCGTCGTCCGTTGTGCGTCGTCCGTCGTGCGTCGCCCGTCAATTAGAACAGGTTGTCCAGCATATCAGCATTATTTATGGAGCTAACAAGTAACATTACTGTTTAAAAGACTTCTGTGAGCCTACTTGCAACTAATTTGGAGTATGCAGCAGATTTCATCATAGGTATACCCGCCCTCAAAAGAATGTTGAATTGTTCGTCTCTTATGAAAACTATTAAGGAATCAAACATTGTAAATAATCCATTATTTACATTCCGTTCTGTGGGATATCGTGCAGGGACTGACAGAAATATTACATAGGCTATAGACCTGAAGTCAGGCTGTTAACGAGTAAAGTTACGTCTAGAATAACTAAGTTATCGAGAAAAACAATCTACCCTAACAAGAGTCTAATTTATTTATGTAACCAAAAATGGTATTATTTCATACACAGGTTACTTAACCGATGTCAGGATGTTATTTCTTCTTTCAATTGGAGTTTGGCGCAACTGCAAAAACGAATACATGCACATCTTCTAGTTCTATTGCTAAAATGAGAGTCAGGCTTAGTGGATCGATCAAACAAGGACATGTACAAGTGAAACGATCAAGGGTCAAAGTTAAAAATACCACTGCGCAATCGTGACAAAAAAACCACGGGCGACGCACGACGGACGACGGGCGCCGCACGACGGGCGATGGACGACGGGCGACGCACGATGGGCGACGCGCGACGGACGGAGGGTCGGGGCAAACAAATCTCTTTACATATTCTAAATCTTAATATTTGACCAAGAGACTGGTAAAAGGCCTTTGTCCATCTTTCTTTAAGGATGGATTTGCAGTGGGCAGATGTTAATAAATTTTAGATTTTTGCCCGACGTGTATTATATCACTGTATACTCAGTGTTTACCCCCCAGGCTTGTGAAAAAACAACAAGCATACTTGGGTGGGACTGGAACCCACGACTTCCTGCTTACTACGTCTTAAAAAGGCTTGCCGATGTCGGCTGGCTTGTTCGAGTCAGATGGCGAAAGTCCTAGCCCAGTTCTTCTGGCAGACACATACGGGTCTCTTTCTGGCAACTCACGGCCAGCCCCGATGTTCGCATCTGATCTTGCCGTTCTTCGTTGGCCTGAGCGATCCTTCTTGAGATTCAAGCTTGTCCCCTCCCTTTGGTACTTTGGATGTTTTTCTAAATTGTCGACGGTCGGCACGGTCAGGAAAACGCTGACCCAATTGCATCTGCTACTTTCTGGAGGCTTCCAGTCCTCAACCACTCTCTTACCACAAACACACGCTGCTCAGTTGCAAGCTGCATTTTGCTGGTCTGAGAAAATGAACAATCTTTCCAACTTTTAAGGAGTGTACAATGAAAGAACATGCTGAGGACTGCATAATTTGGAGGCCCTACAAAAGCCCTATAGTGAGCAGACAAGGTTCTTTACCAAAACATCAATCTTGTGACAAGATCAGTTCCGACATGGTTGGCTGAACTGCTTCGTGCTCAGTCATCTGTGACAGTACATTAGATTTGGTGGTGTCATAAGAAAGAGGGCATCAGAACTTAATAAAAAATGGTGGTTTGCAATTTCAAAAATATTTAATCATGTCCAAGATATTAACAAATTATCTCGGTTCCTTATTTTTAATACTGTATATCTTAAATATTCAAAAGGACTGTACACATTCAGTTTAATGATCATTTGCATAATAGTATTAATGACCGACTGTCACATGTACAATCTGGATTTAGACCTGAGCATTCTATTTCACCACCAACATTGATGCCAGTGATTTCATTGTACCTCAATAGACAAGGGTTACTCAGTTGGTGAAGACCTTACTAAGGTCGATAGCCTTCTGTTGATAACCACATTTTAATTACCAAGTTATCTATGTATGGCATTCCGGGGAACGAACTTGCAAGGTTTGAAACTTATCTGACCGTGTTGAACACCTTCTGGTTGTTGACACAGTGTGCAACCTAATGCTAATAAGATAACCAATGGAGTCCTCCAAGGTTCGAGTTTAGGCGCTTTGTTGTTCAGTATTTTATTATCAATGATTTTCCAGAGGCTGTATCCTAGTGCAACATTGTTTTATATGCTGACGCAAGGTCATTCGTTTTGGTTCTGAACACATTTGGGACAATTTTGAGACTGTACGAACATCTTTAACTTGGGAATCACCCGCAGACTACATGGTGAGGACACACATCCCGATTCTGGGAAACCTAGCATTCCGGGAAAGCCTCATGCAAGTGTGTACAAACCCTACTTCGAGAAGTCAAAAGTCACTACTCGGTCATGCTCCGTGTGAATTTCTCATTTGAAGCAAGATATGGGACGAAGAGAACCCCTCCCCCCGCTTTTGTGTTGGTCATTGTTTGATCGGAATCTCAGGAATTCTTTGCAGACTTCTAGGGAGGTTGTGTTAGGTAACAATAGTCTAGCGTGTGTATAGGGATTGGACAGGTAAGGCGGGTACCCCTCCATCCCATATCTTGCCTGGTATAGGCTTCCTGCCATTACAGTTTACATGGTGTAGTAACGCTATGGTTTTTGAAATCGAACTTTATAGGTGAATGATTCACAGGTGGAACAAAGCTATTAAATCAAATTTCCCCTGACAGCAAACCTGAATAATCTATAGCTCTTAGAAAAGGGGGGTTCAAGCTTTCAGAGCATGAGACGGAATATTTCTTTTTAAATGAGATTTTTGCTCACCAATCTCTCGCTTCCACCCGCTGACAGTCGCTCCATTCATGTCGTTGTGTTTATCAGATTGCGCATGCGTTGAGCCCACCAATGAGCCTGCTTGCTCCGCATAATTGTTATAGCTCCTCCGCAATTTATTATTGGGGAGCTGGTGTAGAGACGATTATGAGAGGAGAAGCGATTTTCTAGAAATTTCCATTCTCGAGGTCGGAGGTTGTTCCATTTATTGCACTCACGTCTGGGCAAAGGGGCAACTCTCCATTCAATTTGTACAGGGATTTGCATGTTTTCCTCTTGTTTGGCAGCAACGTGATAGAAATAACTAAAACCTTTTCAGTATGCAGTGCAGTAAGTATTCATAGCGCATAAATTGTGAAGTTAAGAGCTTAAGTCAATAATTTAGATTTCCCCATAGACCGCCACACTATTTTGTCCCTTTGCTTTTTGAGAGTGAAAGATCGAATAGCCATCAATTGACCAGCCAGAGAGAACCAAGAATCAGTGACGTCATCCCGACCTCAAGAATTGTTAATTGTCATGTTGATTTCGGAGTTTTGCCAAGGAATCTTCTTAAATGATCTACAAGTCTTATCCACTTAATTACCAGTGTTTCAAGAAGCAACCCAAGTGTGCGGAATAACCATCATTTCCCAGCGTAGTAAGTACTGAATAGATGATTTTAGCATCGTTTTTGTAGAGCCATGTTAGGGGATGCAGGCCTAACCAGGCCAACGGTCACTGTTTTTCTCGTCACGGTTGTTTCATGCTCATTCATGGCTTATGTCAAGTAGTTCGCATGTAATCTCAAGTTGGATTACTTCTGAAATTTGTAATTACAGTGTCATATTTTGTTCTTTGATGTACATAGTGTTTGTTCCCATAACTGAGTGTTAGGTGATTCAATTATTCTGTCAATTCCTGTGTCTGATTTTACACCAACATAGCTACATGTATTATTTAGAGGTTTATAGTACTTTACTCCAGCAAAATCTTCCAAAACACAACAAAATCTTGTGTCTTTCGAGACATTGACTTTTGAGTCCTCAAAAAGACATCTTTATTGCAAGCATTCAAGTTCAACTCCCATGTTTTAAGGGAGAGCATTATCTCAAGCAAATGTAATGTCGTTTAAAGGCCTACTTACCAGATCGGCTTGAGCTTTCAATAGTAAGGAAACTTCAAATTAATGCTAAATCCTCCGATTTTAATATGACACTTTTCACACACTGTGGGAATAAGGCTTCAAACATGAAAATAGAGCAGCTTCTAGGTGAGGCTGCATGTGGAAATTGCAACCTGAAGGCGTTGTACGTAATAATAACAGAGAGTGGGGCAGGTGTATATATCTGCTCACATCTTAATTTCCATATCCTCTTTTAAACTTAACATCGCAACAGTCTACAATTACATCAGATGCGATGGAGTGTAATTTGACACAGTTACGTGTTTGTCCAAGATGTGAATTCAAGAGAATGTGACTTTGAGAATTGGGATGGAATTTCGAATGTCTGCTGTTAAAAAAGATCTAAAACATAATGACGTCATGCTTTGTTTGCATGCTGTTTCCCTTGGGGACTCAAAGGATCGCGTCCCATCCCCTTACTGCCAGAGGAAAGCGTCATTATTTTACATGTCTGTTCAAATCTTGATTTCAACTTCCTGTGGGCTTAACAGATCTAATTGCAACAACTGGGTGTTCTAATATCAAGATATTAATTTTTTTCTGAAATAGTATAAGGTTGTTTGTCTACCTCCACAGTATTGTACACGGTAAAATATTTCCGTTAAATGCATTGTGCAGTATTGTACTGTAAACCAATATTGCAGAAAACTAAAATGTTTGTTAAGCGTAGGCCTATTTTGTGAAATACAGTGCAAAACTTCATATTTAACAGTAATATTTTACTGTGATCTCGATTTGCATGTTGACCCGAATGGGCGTCGCTTACTTTCGTCAAGTAGTGTTGCCATTTTCATTCTTCACACAAGCGTCTAATGTTACGTGCGTGCGTTTTGTTGACGTAGTTTAATAAATGCCAACCACTGTCTGAAGGGATAAACTTTACAAGAAAACAAAAAGGCCGATTTTTATATGCCAATCATAATTGCATTTAAGTGCACAGTGCTTTCATAGTAAGAACAGAAGTGAAGTGTAACCATGATCAGGATTTTTGGACAAGAGATAAAAGAATTATGACCAGGGTGAATGCATTACACATGTAGAGTCCATCATATTGATTACTGCTTCCTTTGCATATGGGGACCGTCAAAAAATCATGATGCCCGTAATCAATGAAAACAGTCATTTACTACATGTACTATAACGCTTTAGAGTAGGCTTACATTAACATAAATTATTTGCGATGAATTGCTGTCCCTGTCACAGAACATTACTGTCAAATAAACTACAGTTACGTATCGTCAGAAAAGTACAGTAATTTATTTGCAGTATATTAATGGCGGCCGTGCTGCCAATAAGGTGCTGTAAAAAATTTACAGCGATATGTCACTTATTTTTCCGCGGGAATTTAAACAAAAACTTTTGCTTAGTAGTGCTGAGTGGTGCCTGCCAGAAAATATAAATTTACGATAGTAGTGGTGGAATGCGGTGGAAAGCATACGTGGGACCTGACCTGTGAAAATGTTTGTCAATGCACTATTTAAAATTTAATATTTAATGTCAACACTCTAATATGCCTGTATTATGCCACTGATAGAACAGCGAGTTGTGGGCAGGCCTGCCAATTTGCCCCCTCTAAAAAAAAATGGCGCAGATGTTCCCCGTATTTGCATTACAATCATGTCCAATATATTGTCTCGGTCTTGGGATGTAAAGCCAGTTAAATCTCCCCAACAAAGAGTGTTTCCGGCCCGTTATCGTGACAATGCAAAAGAAGTGAAAAATGTTTTACTTAACAGAGAATTTCAAAGAAACACAGTGATTCAGCACAACTACCATGTTTACTTTGTTCTTGCAAAAGCTTATTAAAACAGATCCCCTTTACGAGTTCGCGTCCTGTCAAATATCCAAACGAGCAAGCAGGTAAAAGCCCGTGTTCTCAATCAGTATCTAATCAGGTGTAACGAGCGCCATGATTCGGCGTTATTCAGGTTCAATCATTAGGGGAAGACAGGCTTACGTCACACGTCATCCACAATTTGTCGTCAGTTCATCAATTAATTAAGGCCGCCATTTAATGGACACTGGTAGAGTGAAACCAAACTCCTGCTAGCTACTTAGTGAGTCCGTGCCGCTAAACAAACACTTTCGCCAGTACCGCCCAAAACCACAACCTGGATTGCGATTCTCCTTGAGAATACCGACATAGAAAATAATGTTTTGCTGGTATTGTGCGTTCACATGATTGAAGATCGTATTTTGATGTCAGAGGAAATTTGTTGATTCGATTATTTAAACGGTCTGGGCTTTGTAAATCAGAACAGCATAGTTCCATGTTTTACCTACATAATTATCTATACAAGAAAACTATAGCTCTGTTGATAACATCCTGGGCCTATTCTTACCAGGTAAAATAAAAGAAAGATGGTGCGTATATCAAATCATTTTGTAAAATAGCATACGTAGGCTAATTATATAGCCATAAGTTATTTACTCCAAAAAGGTTACCTTCTCCGGTAAAACAAGTTTTTGTTATCAAACAAACGGAACAGAAACTTAACTGTATTTCTAAGTTGACCATACATTGTTACTTTAGGTTGAACAAGATCTCCTTTGAAATACACTTAAGCAGTAACAACTTTCTGAAATGCCGTGGCCACATTCGCAGCACACGCTATTCGTGATTTTATTAACAAAACACCCTCTATATAACAGAGCAGCCAAGTCGGTTCTGTATTTAATTGTCACCAGCTCATCCCACGGGCTAGTTTGAGGAAAACTGAGAATTGGGACTCTGCTTTAGTCGTGCTGCTGATGCACAGATAGAAGCTTCTGCCACATTGTAGACTTCTGTAACTCCGAACGCCCAACTCGCTGAAACATTTTCCTAATCACTGCTTCCAATCCAGCAAAGTGGACGGACGCGGATCGGTGAACGTGAAGACGATGAGGGGCACACGAAAATTCACGGAGCGCTGGATCAGGGTGGCCAACATCAGCAAGGAACGTGAGCAAATCTCCCTGGAGGGCAGGGGCTCCTCGGCGGGCTCCACACGGTCGGCCGTGACACTGAATACGATGGTCGATGGAAGCACTCAAGGTGGACGATGTGAGCATGGCAGTAAATTTGGCTGGTGTAGCCCGGGAGGATCGTCATCCCCTGCAGTAAGTTGGCTCTTTGTAACAACTTCTGGTCATTCTTTTCCTTGAAGATCTATGCAAAATTTCCCTGGAATATACAGGTTCCAACCGTTTAAATATCATTTAGGTGGCCGATAATGGCACGTTGCTCTCTAATACAGACGAGAGACAAAACTTAAGTGTTAAATTGAAGTTAAGGTTGAATGTAGAGTTCTAAAATGTTGATTTTAAGTACCGGTACATTTTAGTGGAATTAGACTTGTAGGCTTGTATGACAGACGTGAGTAAAGTATGGAAGGTTTGCAGTACTACAACGGACGCTAATTTCTTTTACGAGTTGGTCCTGCAAAGAACCAGTTGCTTTAAGTCGACCTTTCGATCAACCTGCCCTATTAGTCATCACGAGTCTTATCAGGTAAGTAGCATCTGATTAAAAAAAAATGCCCCAATTTTTTTTGTTTTGAAAAGGAACAGCGGCGTATCCAGGTTTTGTTGTGGGTGGGGGAAGGGCAAATTCAAAGCGAATGCTGCCTCGGGCTTATTCAACATAACGTTGGAGGAGAAAAATATCAAAAGCCTTATTCGCGGTCACAACGTCCTTGCTTTTATTCATGGTGTTGTTTTCTTAAGGTTTTGGTGCTAAGATTTGATAAACAAATATACCGATTACTTTATTATCCATGAAATTTTCTTGGAAAAATAAATACATAAATAAATGTAAAAATCCGTGTGGGGGACAAGTTGCCCCCTGCCTGCCCCCCCCATACCCCACCGAAAAGGAATAAACTTAGAACTGATTTGCTACACTTTTCAAGATCAACTTGACCTAAAAAGCTGCTCTAAATCATTTCCCCAAAGGGCGTATGTTGAAAGGGATACTTGCGACAGCAAGGACTGAACCTGTAAAAGTTTTACTTTTTTATCGACTCTAATTCTAATTCTAATTCTAAGTGTTTAAAAAAGCGATGATAATGCATTGAAATGCTACTGAAAAGATTTAAAGAATTCTTCCGGAGGGAATGTTATCAACCTAAGATATATAAAAATGGATTTTTCCAAATGTCATGATAGGCCCTAAATGCAATTGATGACGGATGCTGTATTGGCCAAAAGAAAAGAACACTCTCAGAATTATTTTCGGTATATTTAACCCACTCATTTAATTGTTGAGGCATTTATAAAATATTATACATTTATATTTAAGGACTTAAGAATTGCCTTTTTCCTATGGCAGGAAATGGCCAAGCTACCTTTGGAAGATTTCATAGATACTGTACGGGAAAATTCGGCTTTCATCCATGAAACGGACCTGAAAGGTGCCACGGTCTTGCACTACGCGGCTCAGATGGGCCGTAAGGACTTGGTCGAACACATCACTCTCTGCAGTGGAGGTAGGTCTAAGGTCTAATTTCTTGTAATTTTATCTTGTTTCGGGTGTGTGGAGCTTTCAATCTGGGTCCCTGACTCCTTGTCCCTTTATTTGTTTGCACTGTGTACGTTTCTGTCCGTCTTACAGCCACAGATAATGTTCCTATGTTGGAAATATCATTGTCCCAAATTCCAAGCTCGATGAAAATACTTTTTGTTCATGAAGTAAACAAGCATTTTCTTTTGACAAACAACATATTTTTCAGCCTGTTTCGTCGGAAATCGGGCATTCCATAAGAACGGTACGCCCCAATGATGTCACAGCAACATGAATATGTTTTATTTACAGTAATCTTCCTTCCATAACTTTTCTGCACGTGGAAAAAGGCAACACGATTATACAAGTAAAGTAACAATGAAGCATGTCGGGATCCCCGTGGACAGGTGCTTTGCGAGAACGTATTTGGTGGAACAAAAAACTTTTACTCGAGTGAAATTTAAATCTATTTTGATTGTTCCTTCACGGGGCCATTGTTGATTCACCTATTTATTGTCGAAGCGATAGCGTCCATCCATTTAAAATGTGTATCGTAAAAATATTTAGACCACTTTACTTACATCATTTCTTCTCATTTCAAGTCACTACCAGTGCCGGATTAGAGTTTACATGAACTGTGCTAAAGGCCTACGAAAAATGCAAGCTGTATAAATTAAAATATTCACTCACGCAAGCAACGGCCGATGCACAAACAAGATACCTTTTGGGAGTTCCAGTTGTCTTTTTGAATGTTTTATTCTGGGAAATCTTCGAACTATAGCAGACGAAGAACATAACCTCCAGTCTCTAAGTTTCCAGTGCTTACAAGCTCATTGAATAATGCAGAAGGTTTCCCCAAAATGTTTATCTGGAGTTTTCAATTCACGTAAATTTCTTCACTTTCTTCTTCCTAGGGCCTCTTAGGAGAACAATTCTTTGGAAACAGAGACGGCTAAGGCTGATTGAGTAAAACTGATTAACAAAGCAAATTGTGTTCTTGTTTTTCCCTTGTTACACGGATTGCTTTGATCCTTCAAACCAGTCGTCTCTTTCTTAAGTCAGACCAAGTCTAAATCTGATGCTTTGTGTCTATGTAGCAATTCCAGTGAGAAGTAACAGGGTGAACAAATGACAAAAGAATGTTTTTGTTACAGGTCATCTGAAGAGCTTGTGAATTGGCGTGAGACCGAATGACTTGTGATGGACTTACAGAGACTTGTGATACACTCGAATACATGCAACGCTGCTATGGAACAATTAGAAGACATGACGTTTTGCAAAGAATAAAGCAGCCCCGCTTCAGATTCTTACAAAACAAATAACAGTAGATCAAAGAAATTCGTGTGTAATGTGCGACTTGGTGCAAACGGTTGACACTCGTGGCCCGCCCGTGACTTTGGTGACTTTGGATTTGCCTCAATGATCGATAAGATGTCAGCGGTTGCTCGAACGCAATTAATGCGGGGTTTTTTGTTTGGATTTTAGGATCCAAACGTGACCATTGAATTAAAAAAGACACAGGAACAAATATTAGCAAGGTTTATACTCCAAAAGCCCTAAATGCCTCTCGATTTTGCGTCTCATTTTATTTAGCAAAAATAGTCTCAACAGCGTTCTTCATGTGGAAGTAATAACAGTTCAAGTTTAATTGATTATTGCGCGCTTTATTGACAAAGCTATCCAAGCGACGGTTTGCAGAATGAACACCCTGAATGTAGGACATCCTTCACTGGCGATGCAATGCTTCCTCGCTGTTAATATTAATCCTTAGATTTGCAATACGGAGGGCTTTTACTCTTGCCGTATTCGTGATTGCCAGGAAGCCACAACAACGATAAACACAGCATTTCCTCCCAAATAGATTTTGCCCTTCGCTGGAAGGTATATTTAGTTGTTTTAAAGATGGATGCCCTGGAAATTTAGTACGTATTCAGCATTGACAATACATTGAGTATGTTTACAAGCACCACGAATGTTAGTAATGTATTCTAAAAGAGTGCCTTTAATCATGCTGTGTTGTTATTTAAAAATACTACATAAAAATAGCGGCACCATAATAGCTTACATGAGTTGGCGCTTTAATGCAATCTTTGGGTTCCGGTATGTTATGGCAACATTCCCTCGTAGCAATACTCCGATGTTTGTGTCACCAATTTGATGATAAGGAAATTAGCACTTGTACTCCTGGGCGTTAATAAAATGTTCTGAGTCATTCGATGTTAAATTTTGAGAGATTATTACTTGCAATAATTCTATGCTTGTCTTACACGAAATGGCCGAATCTTATTGGCATATGCACATCAATCCATTGTCTCAAAGCAATGGATTTCAAATGATAATATTTACCAAAAATGACAATATTTACCAAAACACAGCCCAAACCACTAAGAAAGTCAAAATATATGTTGACTATTAAATCGTCATCTTGCTTAACATATATGGCTGATTCATTGAGGACTGCGATAATATGCATCATTTCACTGCAAATTAATTGTGAAGTCTCGGAAGATCTGAAATCGGAGGAAAATGACACTCTCATACAATCAAAACAATGCAGAATCATAACGTTTGATGAATAGAATAAGCAGTTACTTCCAAAGACATCTGAATCAGCACAACTCGTTCTTTGAAAAGTTCTCGATTGGAGTTTGCCCACATACCGCCTTGCTATTACTGGACAAAGTGTCCATTACGTTGAAAACTAGGTGTATTGGCCATGATTACAATTATGCTCGGCATGCAAAATTGGGATTTTCAAACAATAAATCACATAGGACACTTAAACTAAACTGCTTATTCAGATCTACAGCACAATATGCACTGTTATGAATGTGTACATGCATTTCTTGTCACCGTACACTCCTGCATGTTACATCCCTGCTGAGGGGGTTTCTTATCTGAACCATGCACTGATGCAGATCCACTCTAGAATAAGTTTACCCCGCAAGTACCATTTGCAGCTTTCCAAATGAACCATATTGAATCAGATGCACTGAGTGTTGGGGTTTGTTGGTTTTAAAGTTTGGACAAACAACAAAAACTCTTAACACTAACAACTCGGCTGACAATAGAGTTTTTTCTCAGCGTTGGGTAACTTTAAAAATATGCATGATCTGCACCCGCGTCACTCCTCAAACAGGTAGGATTCAGTTTGTTGTCCCGAAAGAACGCACGAGACTGGCTGCGGGGTACGTACCCGACCCGCAGAAAAGGGGGAAAGATTTGTTGCCTCCAAGCTTGATAGCAACACTTAGCAATCTCTTACCTCCCATTGTGCTAGTAAGTTTCTAGCAAGTATAAAGAAAGTCAAAGGGGTCTTTAGGGTCGGTGTGTTTTCATCCCTCTAGTTTGGTCCCCGCTTTAGATTTTTTTCCTCTTGGTTCCCCCAGCATATCAGCCTTCTCGGTAATGTAACAGTCGAGTTGGTGATCCGGAAGGTACACAAACTTCCCCCACATCCTTCCCGATCTCCATTGTCCCATCGATACATTTTCTTTTGGTTGATAGTTTGCAGTGGTCACGTCTGAAAGTGTTTTTCCCCCACCTTAATTTTGGCACGAGGTAAACCCTGGGTGTAAACAAAGTATAGGGCCCAAGTGAAACGACTGGAGCTCCCTTGGTATTTTCTTAGACGCATAATATTCTCCCAATCTCTCGGGGTTCAGTTGGAAATTGTGTTACTGGTTCTTAACACTCTGACTACTAATAGCTGGGGTTGGCAAAACGAGTAGAAATTCTGGTACAGAAACGTTGGGTGTGAGTTTGAAATTTCTAGTGGCAGATTAAGTAACCTTGAAAATAATTACTGGTGGGTTCCGTTGCGATCTTCATAATACCATTAAGCGACGAGAGCCTGTAATCAGAATCTTTTCATGAGCTGGAGCATATCGATCGTTCATAAGAAAGAATTTAGCTTTATGGAATAACAATTAACTTGAAGGACTGAACAATGCTGCGTCATTTCGTCTCACAGCAAGACATGAATGGAGCATATCGAAATTTGAGTAAAACATTTGTGTCTGAGCGTAATAACTTACAATCGATCGTGGACAACAGCAATCGCGACAGTGAAAGGTGCAAGTGCTCAGAGGAGGGGTTTTATTTACGACGGTTGTGGCGGTCAGTAAAATAGGGTTTTCGAACCTCCAACAACAAGGGAAAAACATGAAATGAAAGATAAGAATATAGGGTGTAGTGAATTTCAAGAAAGATTGAAGTTTAAGTTCTTAATAGGCTAAAGTGATGTTCCGGCAATATTTAAGACCTACCTATCTTGAAAAAAAATTTTAACATATGTTTGGCCAACCTAAGAATGGATTGAAGTTTCTCCTAAAAAGTACTGAATCTTGTTGAAACAGCAGTTTCCGGTTATTTAGGTTTTCCAGTCCGGTTTCCTTTCCTGTGAAGTTTTCTCAGTTTTTTGGCTTAAAGTGGAAATAGTTGATATTCTTAACTAAAATTTAACATTTTAAAGACCCTGAAGAAAACCACATTTCATCGAAAATCAGCAGAACAGACATTGTTGCACAGTGTGCCCTGCATAAACTCGTACATGTAATCCCCAAAATTGGGTTTGAGAAAAATGTTTTATCCATGATCTTGACACAAGTGTCTCTATCTACGAAATCTATCCCATTATGCTCCCATTGATCCCCCCTATTACACAGTAAAACAGGGACACTGTAAAAAGCCATGTTCCAACGCAAAGAGAACCAAGCTTCTTTTGGGGGCCCCAAATTTGGAACTTTTTAATGTAGATTTGTATGGACTTTCTAAGGGGCGGGGCTATATTTTAAGGCTCTCTACACTTTGATGTTATGTTAAGAGGAATAGAATGTATCTCATGTATAAATGAGATGTACATTCTGCATCAGGAACAGCTCCCCAGTGTCATATGGTGTCAACCCCCCCCCGCTTTTCGAATTTCTACTACTGGGCAATTTTTGATGTAGGTCATCCCCGGTATAGATTACACCACTTCCGATGACGATGTCGCTACTATGGAGTGGCGGCAGACTCTTTTTTTTGACATAGTCAGCAATTGCCCTCTCCCTGTGATAACCCATCAGGTGACATATGAAACTAGAATCACTTCCTTTTTACCTCGATAGAAAGTGACCTCACTTCTCATTCCCCCCGAACGGCCCCTCTAAAAGGCATTTTCGAAGATTGCCGTAATATCATAGTAGGAGGGTAGGTGGGTGCCATCAATCACAATTATGTTCCCATGAAGATTACTGCAACGGTAAATACATTGCACCTGTGTGTGGAAGCAATAAAATACGGTTCTCAGCACTTTGGCCTTTGTGGTCATGCTATCTATTCAAAGTCATTCAGGACAGGCTTTAATATTAAATTGAAACTACAGTAGCTCCTTTGAGAAGCAGTTAATCTTACGTCAATGTCACCTTCTTTTCGACATGTGTGCCTTCCTGACTACCCGATGAGGCAGTTTGTGGATCAATAGCTACTGTACAAAGTTCATTAGTCAGCACCGGTGACGTTGAAGATGATCTTGTACTCTCGGTACAATTTTCTGATAGAAATTAGAATTCAGATTGGGGGATGCTTGCTGCTTCCCAACACCGCTTTCATATTTATCAACCGATTTTCGAAGCTTATTGCCCATCAAAATTTGACTCAATTTGTATGTACAGGAAAAAAAAATTCACCGGCAGTGCTATTCCGACAACATCTCACCGACATCGAAAAGCAATCCGAAAGGAAGGCCACCCGGCACAATCGCCTTTTAAAGTGTATGTTTATCTGGCAAACTGACTAGGCCTAATGTCTGCTTTATCCTAACCTGTCATTGAGCAGTAGCCATAAACCATGCCATGGGGATGACCATAGAGCTCTATGGGATGACTAAGCAAATCGATTTAGAGTCAACAAGTTGCACCGGCACAGGACACATGAAGGTTGTGGGGATCGTCGAATACAATTATAAAGATACATGTGTAAGTGGGAAAAATATAATTTATGTACACGTAGTTAAGAAGAAGCATTAATATGCATTAGCATTAAATTCCACTCAGTCTTCTACGGTCAGAACCATTACCAATCAAGCAATAAACATTATAATGACGAAGGAAGGACTCTTGTAGAGCCAGCCTGTCCATGGCACTCCCAGTCAGTGAAAAAAAGGGGTTGGTCTGTCAGGCGGTGCACAAAGTGTATCAGTGGGATAGATGTATTCGGGAAAATAAAAGGAAATCCAGAGATTATCCGAAGGAATACACGAGAAAGAAAACTGGAGGTGAAAACCAGTGTAACCAGAAAGTGCCGATTTAGCATGACTCAGCACTTTTTATGGGACTTCAATGGGGAAACAGTCCTGGATAATTCCAAAACTGAAACTGAAATATTGCCAGAGCGTCACTGTTAAGCCTCTTCAAATTTTAAAATTCTTAAATTTTTGAACTTCAGGTAGAGTATTATGTGACCAAACGAAACTCCATAGAAACCCAGTGGTGATACTCGGTCAGTATCTTTCGTATGTATAAATAAATATCTAACATGCGCACCCAGGGGCAATGCATGTCACCTGAAATCTGAATCCGCGCAGCACGGGCGACTCTTTTGTGGAAAATCTTGTTCGCGTTATTGCTCCCTACAGACAAGGATTTTACCTCAAAATGAATCATTATAGAAAATTTATTGTTGATAGTATTTATTATTTATATAATTTGGTATTATAATTTAGCGTTAAGTAACTTAACCTGGAGGAATCTACGCTAATAATTTCACCAGCTTCAATCTGTTATAGTTTAACCATATGCGTGTCGCATTTAAATTTTATGTGTGGACTCAGGAAACTTGATTTCGCTCTGTGATTGGAGTCGCAGTGAGAACTAACCTAAAGGTAAAATATCGAAGGAAAAGCACACAAATTGAACGAAATAGAAATTAATTAGGGTTTCATTTGAACTTATTGTGTGTGTGTCAGCACCAGTTGGAAATGTCGGCCGAAATTCCTCACGCAAAGACGTTCGTGAGGTAGGCCACAACCCGTTTGAACGGTCTATACGTAGCTGGGGGGGGGTGTATCTGCAACTGAAAATCGCAATAACGAGCAACCGCTATACCAAACAATTTGTATGGACCACGTCGTGTTTGTTATGAAATCTTATCGGAATCGTTTTCCCTCAGTCATACAGTACACCCTTAAATTTATCTCGCAGTGAACACCCTAAGGTCTCATTCATTACAATTGTCTGTTAAAATTAGGACGGTGATAAAAAAATACGTTGACGAAGATTTGTTTTTATACCTAATCTTGTCAATAGACGTAAAGGCCCAAGACGCTAAGGGGGAAGCACCTTTGCATTGGGCTGTGAGAGGCAACTCCCCGGACACCGTTCACAGTCTCATGTTCGCTGGGGCAGATCCTGCTGTACTCAACAACATCAAAATGGCACCACTTCACCTGGCCAGTGACTTGGACATGCCAGACATGATTGAAGTAAGGCAAAAACGAAATGTGATGCTGGAATCTTGTGAGTGTGGCACCCTGATAAATAAAATGATCAAATTCTGCATAGGATCTTTGTTTATGAGATATATGATATACCGAAATTTTCGACTTGATAATTGATCATTTTACACTGACATCTAAGACGTGAGAGGCGCTGTGTTTGTGGCAAGAAGTCTTCGTTGGATACTACAGAATTAATTTTTTTGAATGTTTCAACCTGAGATGGTTGGATATTAAGATAAGAATAATGTTACGTTGTGTTACTTTATTGTAATTCCACAATAAAGGGATCAAACCCCTTAACCGAGGGGAGGGTTACACTATACCATTTTAAAACAGTATGATTGTATATGGCAGACGGTTTTCCAAGAGCATTGACATGATACTAACTTCTTTAGGGCTGCCTCATTATTTTTTGTCGCTTGATAAATATATTTTGGAACATAAGTCATTCGATGACAATAAGAGACTAAACTAATCATTTTTTGTCAGATTACTCAAAACCTGCTATCTAATCGCAAATACCTGTGAATAAATTCTGTAGCAGTTCATTATATAGTGGAATTTTATAGAAGCAAACCCATTTCAGTTTGAATAGCAAGTAAACAGTGTGAATATAACATCGTGTAAAGCTAAACCGTTATACTAATATTATACCAATAATTCTTCTTGTACACAGGCCCTGTGTTATCACAAAGATATGGACGTCAACATGCCGGGGGAATATGGGCAGACACCATTGCACTACTGCGCCATCAAAAACGCTTTTGAAGCGGCCAAGAAACTCGTACGTAAACAACAACTCTTCAGATTTTGAAAAAAACCTGGAAATATTTGACGGGATAAAAAATCAATACTTCTTTTTTTCCCTGGCATGAGGGAGTGGGGGGGGGGTGAGCAACAAACACAGTACATGTTGTATTTGGTTTGTTCATGTTCAGATGGTTTACAAGCCACGCTACTGTAAACGAGACGATAACGGCGTCTATGTCATCCACTGTGCCGCTACCCACGCCTCCAGAGACGTGCTGAATATGCTTCTCGAAAAAGGTAAGGTTATTAAGGAAAAGGCATAGACAATCGGGCAGAAAAGGGCTAACTAGCGAAACCCGATTTGTTGCGTACCTTTAATTTATCTTTGCAATTAAGGAAATCGATGAATCATGTCCATGAAGTGGGAGTTTTCCGAAGTGGGAGTTTTCCAAAGTGGGAAATTTTCACTGGGTGTATTGAACTAATCCCGATTTCAAAATTGCCGATTTTTGAAGAAAACGAGGGATGGGCTGCACATTGACTGACTATGATAAATTATGTATGCCTCATCGACATGCACGTATATGAACATAATTTCTGCTTTATATTCTTTACAAAATGTGTACTTTTACAGTATTTTGCTGCCAACGCATATGTGTCGGTTTTGGACTGGCCAGACTGTTATAATTGCTAATGATTTGGATACCTTTACCAGAATTTTGTCGAAATATAGTACAAAGTTTGTACTCGCCTTATTCAAAATTTTGCTTGAAGCAATCATTTTAGATAAACTGCTGGTATTTTACGTTGCAGAGTTACTTGTTTGAAGACTACCAACAAAAATATGTCCCAATACAAAATGAAGCGCCAACATGAAAAGTTGGTTGGGGGAATGTCACTGCGTCCGTCTTAATCTTATTAGGGAAAAGTGGACTACAGTTCCCAACTCTTGTAATCCTAAACAGAGTAATTTATCCTGTAACATGGAACTGTATACTCTAATTGAAATCCCGCTAACCTGTCACTTGAAACCTGACCATTTTGTGGGGTCATGAACGTTATGAGTTATCGTCCCACCAAGGTTTCGCGTAGAAGTAAATTGATCGCTTTTTGTTTCTTTTCGGTTACAAATGGCCAATTAAGCCTTTAAGTGAACAGGGATTTGCTCAGGTCAGAGCGTAAAAAGTCGAAGCACCAACCGCTTGCAACCACTATGCTTGAAGCACACTAGACTTCAATTTGGGGTTTTTTTTAGGGAAACTGGCCATTAATGAGTGAAACGAAACGGTTTTTATGGAATGGTTCATTAATGAACTCTGTTTTTTTTTGTTAATATCTTGCCGGCGGAAGAGAAGTTACCTTTACATACGAAATAGTCGATTCCTATTCTTAAATCAAAATTTGAATAATGTCCTCTCAGTTAACTTTTTTGAAGTGTCGGCGTTTGATAGATGAATACATGTTATTACTACACCCCTCTTACATATATTCAAAACCTGTTTGCTTGTATGATTAAGTCAATATCTGAAGTCAGTTACTGTCATAATATCTCACAGCGTAGCGGCAATGAATTTTTTTTTGACAAAATTTTTATCCAATTATATATTCTTCAATGTATAAAACCTATCTTACATCTCTCTTGAGTTAATTGTATTGAAAAGTGCACTTTGGGGATGTCATCCAGGAAGACGTGGCCCAGTGCCTAGGTGTTTCTGTCCGAACTGTGAACCTAACATTTCCTCACTGAAATCATTTCTGAGAAAGGATTGCTTGCATGCTTATGGGATCACCAAAGAAGAGAACATTTAGGCCAGCAAAATCAAATGAAAAAATGCAGGAGCTCTTTTGTGCAGAGTTCTGCGTAACAATGAGGTTTTCTTCCTGGTTGACATCACAGATTTGTTTATTAATATGGAAATGCTCATAAAAATGCAGCAAAACACCCTTTGAAATTATGAAAAAGAATTGCAAATGAGGTTAACTAAGACACAACGGACACTGTTTTGAGGTTTGTATTTTTAAAATGTTCCATTGCAGCTACCCGTTAATTGCCAGCCCGATGTCGTCTCTATGTATAAACACAGAAATTTGATTTATGATCAACAATACATACATAGGGGTTTCATTGATCCAAATTATTTTGATCATATTTTTCTTCAAGCACTGAGCCAGATTGATCCAGCATTTCATGCATTCAATTCACGGCTCGCAGGTCTTTATAAGCACCATTTTGAGATCGATGACAGTTTCCTTTGTGTTTTTCATATACTTGTACTGTAGCCTTTATTCACCATAATGTGATTATATACAAAGCCCTTTTTCGTCATAATAGACGTAGCATGCTGTTTTAACTGGGTTGCTTAAAAGCATAATCTCTCGAATCAATACCCCGTCCTGAGTGAATAAGGGGTGTAAAGTAAAACGTTGGATTTTGGGGATTCTGAGAACTGTCTCAACGTTAATGACCAAACGTATTGGCTCACGTAATCAAATAAGCGCTGTCTTCGGCGGGTGGTATTATACTTTAGTTACAAAAAAGCAGTTTTCTGATGCTGTAATCATCTCATGCTAGCAAAGTCAGAGCAGGTATCTGATTTTAAAACTTCACAGAAGATTATTTCCACATCAGTATCAAGACTTACAGTGTTCTTATTTCGTACACGCGTGTAGGAAAATGCACAGTGTTAAAGATTTTCCGTCGCTTAACCAGAGCATCTCGTGTTCATTGGAGCTGCGGGGTTGTGCGGACGCGGTTCCAATGAACAGGGATAGGGCTTCTGCTCCATACGTTGCTCTTCCTAGCAGCCTATGTCTAAAGGTTGTAAACTCTCCGAAAATCATAAGCCCTGAAAGCTGTTTGGACTCATAATGTACTTTTGGAGTCGTTAAGGACAAACGAAGAGATTAAATGGTTTTAACAACAGAGCGAACGAATGTCGAAACCCTCAGCAAGATATCCTAAATCTGCCCCTGCTAGGCTCAGAGAGCATCAAAAGACCGTTCTGTTTGTCAACGGCACGAATTTCTTTTAACATGACGTGCAAAGTTAACATTTCCGCGTTTGAAGATGTCTCTATTCCTTATAGAAATATCCCCACACCAGTTACGCCACAGTGCAATGACCTATGCTGCTATGCTACCCGCTTGAAAACCACCACCGAGTGTGAGTTTTAGCGCTGGGAAGAAAACAATCAGTGCTTTTTCAAACGTTAGAAAATAATTTATTCTCCCGTATGGAATGAAATTCAACGAATCATTCTGCATGTCTCTATAAAGAATATGTTAATTACCAGCACGGTTTAAAGGTGATATGAGTCAGTGTACCGACTCGTGTAATGTCGGCTGAATAGCAAAGCGCGCAAACTACGGCTACAAAATTTGTCATGATCTTGGCTCATTTATAGTGCAATCAATCACTGATCTTGAATCAGTTGCGTTTCGGGTGACAACACGAAATGAACATTCTAGTTGGATGATGACACTGAGTGCCAGCTCTTCCGGTAAACGTTAACTGGGAAAAATGAGCGAGAGCTGAACGTTTAGTCTAATGTGACCATGGAAATGTTCGGAGTCAATTATCGTCGTCTCACAACCATCTCTATAAAGTTCGGAAAGATTGATGGTTGATTTCACCCTCATCAGTTTTATTTTAGCGTTATTGGAACTGGAGTCAGACAATGGAAAGACACCAGGCGAAGTTGACAGTAGAGATGTGTGCTAATTAAGGTGAAAACACAGTCAAACTCTGTTTAAAACTCCAACATCTAACCTGTAAATAGTAGAACCTAGGAAGTCTAGGAAAAAGACAGAAAATAGGGCAAAGCAAAAAAGTAAAGTATACAGGGGGAAGCAAAATTCTTTGCCGTAGTCGTGTAGCTCGTGAGGTGGGTATACCCCCATAAATTTTCAACTATTTTTTTACGAGTGCCTGTTGCTAACGTTGTCAATTGATCATACACTCTACAAAAAAGTGCTTAGAGTTTCCAAACACTTTTTGTACCCACTTTTTCGACATGTTTAACCTAAGACATGTGTTTAAGAATATATTTAAATGGTAGGCGGATTTCAAAAAGCTGAACATGTACCACAGAAAAGCGTTTAGTGCTGAAACGCGTTCCTAAACACATTTCACTGAACAAATCATGGTTTAAACGTGTTAAAAAAGAAAAAACAAAAATGTTTTAAAGCTCCCCTCAGCATTTTCGTTTTCTGATGGTCAGGCCAATAGAAAAAAAAATAAATGAATAAAAATAAAAACAATAAAAGACCCGCCCAAACAAACAGAAAAAAAAAGCCCATCGGTATCTCTCAGCTCGGATGCCGAGCATCGAGGATTTTCCCAAAGGGGTTAAGGGGGGGGGAGGTGTGAACTAAAGCAGCAGTGGGCTCCCCCGACTGTCCTTTCTCATATCTACATCCCCATCAAAATCACCTTGATAAGCCACCACGGCTTTATCACGTGAGTATATTTTCTCTGTATACAAATTTGATGAAATGGAAAAAAGCGCAATGGAATTAACCCTAATTTCTGTAACAATTTCAAATTAACTTTCCCCGCCATAATAACAAGAACAAAGAGTCAACTGATTTTCAGATAAATATGATTCTTTACAACAACGATATTCTTTGATACTTGGAAAAGGGCTGTGGAAATGAAGATTTCATCATTTTCTGAGAAGACTTGATATATCTAAGTTTCTTGCTTTTCAGTACTATTAATGCCCTTATCTGTTTGTAAAAGGGGAGAGTGTGACTTTTCAAAGCCATGAAATACGGCAAAAACTTTTATATTAATTTACTACTGATGTCTACACAGTGGTCAGATGTAAATACACAGGGGTTAAAGTAAACACTCGTTGTTTTTAATAACTGCGTAGTCATCTGCTCTGAGCCATTTGCGTTGTTTTTCTTGCCAATTTCTCCATAACTGTGATGTTTGTTGGCCAATACATCTCGCTAGAGTGATGCAGTAGCAGTATCTCGTAAATCACTCGTCTCGGACACGTCCAATCGCGTACCTGTGTTGAGTACATCATCGGAGAACGGCACTATGTCAACCACTGTTATAAAAAATGTCCGCAAGCGATGTTGCCTAAAAGGAAGTCGTTGTTATGTAACAGAGCTATCCCCAAGTTCACGCATGGCTGTTGTAATTGACAGTAACGCCTCTTTCCATTGCCGAAATCTCTACCTTGATTCTGTAGAATAACACGACACAACGGTGTCGGTCTTTGTGCTGAAAAGCCAATTGATCGATCGTCCCGAGTCAAATGGCAATTACTTCAGATTACTCGGCAGCCTGAGCGCGGGAAAGGTGTAGCTAAACGATTTGCTGTCTCAGTCTGACAGTTTGTTGACCAAATCGAAATAATTAAAGTATTAATGTGTTTGCTTTGTCCAGGCCAAAACTGGCTGGCCGGATGCCCTGTAATGGGAGAAATAATGGATGGAGATAGATGAAGAAGGGTTTACAGGAAAACAAACACGACACGCACGCGATCAAAAAAAAAAAACACTGTTATTCAGTGATACCGAAGCGCGATTTCTAATACGACATAATTGATTCCCCGTGAACATGCCAAGGGAACATGATCAAAGAATTACTAAAGATTTAACTGTTCATTAATATTCGGTTGTTCAACCCTCTACCTCTGGATAATAAGGTGCACAGGCCGATACTAAGTGAGCTGATTAGTTAACCCTAAAGAAGCCAGGATTTTTCGGACCATCTCACGGCCGGGGGTGGCTTCCGCACCCGTAAAAACTTGTCTATCCGTGGCCTATCCTGTACCCTTGCCTTTGTCGAACAAACACCTCTCCTGAGCACAGGTATGAAGTTTTAATTCAACCCAACATTTGCTGTAATTACTATGGTCATTAGAAGTTCATGGCTTCCCACGTATTGGCTCTCGTGCATTGAGCACGCCAATGACATGAGTCCTGGCACCCTGGAAACAAAATAGCCGTTTCTCAAGAACGATACGTCCAATTGTCACAAATTTGGTTGCTTTCAAAATGACCGCAGGCTATTACCAAGGAATTTTGAAAGCTCGGCATAATAAGAAAATACACTGCGACGGTGTTGGAGAAAATTTCGAGGCAGAATTGGCCTCCCGGCTCTTTAAGGAAAGATGCACGATTATGTACATGATGATGGGTAAAAACAAGAACGCCTTAAGATTTATTTTCTTCATTTTGTGTCTTATTCCAAACAAGAGTCAAGCATTCTCTTGTATAATACTTCATAACAGGTCTAGTTGAACTCCAGAAAAAGAAAAAAAAGAAAAAACTTCAAGTACCGGTTTGTATACATGTATGCATGTTTCCCGAATCATGCTTCTTACAGCTGTTGAGTGTGTGAGGGGAACCGCTTCTCATTGCCTGCCAGTGAGATCTCTCCATGGAAAAACAGCTCATAGCAAAGCGAATGCGCTCAAGGCCGAAGTGTTTACAAGAGAGAACATGACCTGCAGCCAGTTTTAGAGCGAAACGCGAAGCGATCGGTTGTAATTGGCACAGTCAAAATAGCTTGCTTGTCTGAGCAGTTTGTTCTGCCTCTTGTTTGGTGGGATTTTAATTACGCTTTTAGTAATGTTTTTACTTGGTCCTGTAGCTGAAGAGGCTGGATACCCAAGAGACTACGTGCTGAGGCAGAAGGACAAGGAGAACAACACGGCGCTCCACTCTGCCGTCAATAGCGGCAGCGAGGAAGCGGTCCGGGTCTGCATTGAATTCGGCTCGCCCTTGGACGTGTTGCAGGTACCGTATTGGATTACGGGAAATAAAGCTAGATGTTAATTAGGTCATGACGTTATCATTTAGGAAAGAGGCGGGGAATGGTTCAAATTCTGGGTAGGTTTTTCGGAATGTTGGGAAAGTTGACCCTATGGTCATCATCTTCCCGGAAATAAAAAAGAACGTAACATCACGTCAAATTAACACGTGAAGTTAAAATAACAAACGCCAACATTGTTCATACTGTGACTCCCTCGCCTAGGAGGATGATTCCACGCCCCTTCATCTGGCGGCTTCACAGGGTTCCTTGCCCATCATCAAGCTGCTACTGAGCCCTCCAGGAAGCGAGGCCACGCTGAGCATGTGCGATGTAGAGAAGATGACCCCACTGCATAGGTAGGCTCATCCATTACCAGCGTAGCTCTGAGATGCAGTGATATGACTGTAGACTGTAATTTCTAAGACTGTTCCCAGGATGTGTACTCAGTGTCAAGGGTTGCAATGAAATATACCGTCTTGCAAATACATAGTCTACACCGTGTACATTTCAAAATTTTAAAAGGGGGAGGAAACTGTGGGGCGGAGTATGAACTTCCGATATCGGGGGATGCACGTTAGTAGTCTTAAAGGAATGGCCATTGCCCAAGGGATTTATCGAGCATGCTGGCAATGGTTACGTTACAGTCGCATGCACGTCTCCGTCCGGCAAATAAAAGTAAAGTGTTATTACAACCAGTTGAGCTCTCAGCAATATTCCATAAAACAATCATCAGAAAGCTAAAAACCTTTTCTGACATGCGACGATCTATCAAATACTCTAAGTTTCAGGCTCCAACTCATTTTTTTTGTGGTTTAGGGCGGCGATGTTTGATCACGTTGATGTAGTGGAGTTCTTGATAGCGCAGGTGGGTACAATATCATATTATTTTGCCGTTCTAAGATCAAAGTAAATTTGTTTTGTATATTTGCCATTATGGTAAGAAGTTTTCAAAATCCTTCCTCTTGATTAAAAACAGAACGTTAATCAGACCAAGCTGGTTCCTCTGCTGAATCAATAATATACACGGCGCCGCGTTTTTTTCGTCACACAACTGTCTGGGGACACACTAATGTTGTGCAAAACCGACCCGAAACCGACCTGACCGACTTCGGGTCGGATCGGTTTTCCACCATTTCAGTCGGATCGGGTCTGTTTCGGTTTTGTGTTTGTGGGGCGCGTTGGTTAAGCTATATTGTGAAAAACCGAAATTATCTGAAAATGACCAACAAACTGAAACGGGAAATTCTGGTGATGAATTTTCTTTCAAGAGCTGCAGATTATATAGCCAAATTTACTGTACGACTACTTTGAGTAGTATCCCATTTTCCAAAATGTTGAAAAAATATAAATACTTCATCATGCAATTCTAGTTCGGCCAACTTCGCATATTTCGCAAGATTGGACGGTTTTTCTTTCAGGAAAAACGAGGAAGATAAAATTGACTAAGTTATGTACGGGAATGTATAGTTAACCGATTTCGCATCCTGTGCATAAATTTTGTTTCGGGCAATCGAAAAGACGATCAAAAATCTTGTTTAAACAAAGGATTGAATACACAAAACATCTGAAAATACTTTACTGTCCAAACTTTTTGAAACAGTTATTTCACAACACGGCGATCTCTTTAAATTTCCTGGTACCCGCGATGCTCTTGCACGCATACGATGAGGAATCGTGAAAAGAAAACAAGACCAAACTATAAGACGATATAGTGGCGCTGGACTCTACAATATAGGGGGAAGTAGGGACGACAATATGTTGAGGGGGGCAATCCAAGTAATATCTGAGTTTCAAAAGCTAACACGACCGTGTGGAGAGTGTTTTGTCCAGCCAAGTTAATGCTATGAGAAACTGTGTGTACAGTGTCAAAATTACACCCTCCATTTCAAATTATAGTTCTGATTCTGAACAGCGGAGGAAATAACTGTAAACAGAAATAATCTCCATGTACAACGAACAATAAAGATGTACTTAGCAAATGAGCATTGCAAGAAACCCTTAGGGAAGACTGGAAAACAGGTCATACACGATGCATGGTTGATCGACACTTCTCCCCCACCCAGGGTGCCGATATGGACGCTGTCGACAAGAATGGCTACAGTCCAGTACTCCGTGCCGTCTCTCGGGGCAGCTTTCGTTCAGCATTGCTGCTTAACAAGAACGGGGCGGACTGCCGCCTCCGGGACTGCCAAAACAGGAACATTCTTCACCTGGCCGTGTTAAGTGGGAAAGATCTCATGAAGTGCGGGCTGACGGCTTTGAAGGTAGGTTTAAAAGCAAGGGATAGCCAAGTACAATTTGCAGAGTAGACAATCCTATCTGTGTACTTTCCATTTATGATTGATTGATTACTGTTGTACTTATATTTGTGATCAAAAAGTGAAAAGCATTTACCTCGTGTTAACGCAAATCGTGGGAATTTCTGCATTTGGGTTAAATTCGACAAACTTGCTCGTATTTATGAATTCATGTAATGCGCTATAATATTGGAGCGCCTCTTGGAAAGTTAACTCCCTAATTTTGCCTCAGTTTGTATTCGCAACTGAGATATCCCCAGTTGTCATATCAAATTTTGATGATAGGAAGTCCCATTTGTTTCGACCTCAACTCTTAATGTGGCATTCACCTGAGCTGTTTAATATTGTAGTGCCCATGATGTTTACGTGCCCATCATTTTGAGCAGTGAGGTCAAAGGGTCCTTTGCAAGTTTAAAATTACAACCAATCTGCCTGCAAAAACTACAGTTCCTTTTTGACAGTGCCTAGAGTGGCCCACATATTTGATCGTTTCAGTCGGATATACCAGTTCTCTTGAATGACGTTGATAACCGGGGTTGTACGCCGATCCACTATGCCACGCGAGACGGTAACATCAAATCTGTGAAGAGCTTGATCGAACTCGGGGCCACGGTCAACCTGAAAGACTTCAAGAAACAGTCACCGCTACACTTTGCCGCCAAGTAAGTTGTGGCACTGCTGTTACTGCCAATGTGTCCTCCAGTAAGGCATTTTGCGATGATGGCTTCTCCCATCCTTAAAATATAGTCACAAAGCAAGGAATGCCATTCTTGAAATCTCTCCACAATTTAGCCTACTGACGTCTTCCGCTCTTTACAGCCCTTAAATTAAACTCATGCACTTTCATGATTCCCTTCTCCTAATAACTGTTCCTTTTCCCGCCAAGGTACGGGCGTTTTAACTCCTGCAAGCGTTTGTTAGACAGCTCCATAGGTCCCAATATCATCAACGACATTGACGGAGAGGGAATGACCGCCTTGCATATCGCCGCACTGAACGGCCATGCCAAAGTTATCCAACTGCTGTTACTTCGCGGGGCGTTGTTACACAGGTAAAAAAGAGTCTCGTGAGCTGAAGGGGCTTAGGGGCTCTAAAGGAATGAACACACGGAAGTTTTCAACAAGTCACGTTTTACTCTATTCCTGCAGAGGACGAGGCATTGTGTTTCATATAATATTCCCATGGCAGTCCCCCGTAGACTTACCACAGACACCACGCAGGACAAGAAATGCCAAATGTGGACTTAAAAGGACGGAAAACTCTGTTATTCAAATTGTCTGCTATCTTGAATGAAACATATACAGTTTTTTGTATTCTGCACAAGTATAGCCTGACATGTTGCAAATGTGAAGAAGAAAACATGGATTATAACTCATGCCGTTAAAGTTAGATTTCTCATTCTAGCGATGACGGTAGATTTCAGCGTTAAACAGAGTGTTTAAAACTCCAGGGTGGTCTTTTTAGGGGAAGGTGAATGCCATATGCTTTTCTGTCACAGACTTCATATTTTTTTCTCTTTGCTTCCTTTTTTCTTTTCACTTGAACCATTTCACTTTGCGGATGTGCTTCCCCAAATAACCGTAAACTAATATTGACAGGAAAAGTTTTGAACAGTGTGTCGGATGACTTTTTTAAACATATGCTGTAATACGAACTATTTTGTGATGACATTCTGAGAGTATTTCCATTTATCGAATCTGCGATACTCTAGCTCCTTAACATCACTAATTGGTGTGGACAATGTGAAGTGACATACAGCTCAAATGCCTACTCGTCGAGTTATTTTTTTCGGCTTCCGTCTCGGAAAAGCCTTTACGTCGGGGCACCTTTTAAATTATGAGTTTCAATTGAATTCCAGAGATTACAAAGGACGTACGCCTCTTCATCTAGCTGCAATGGCGGGGTATCAGGAATGTATGAAGATACTTCTTACCACGCATAATTATCTCCTTGACCAAGCCGATGATAATGGGGTACGTGTACCTCGGATAAAGAACATTTGAAATTGTACTGCAAGGGTCCTGACTGTGTAAACAATCAAGGTTTAAACAACCTTACGTAGGCCTATACTGATAGGGTAAACCGACGGGACTGATTAGAAAAATGGTAAACCGAAACGGGAGCTTGTACCTGAGTTATTACAATGCCTTCATTGGCTACTCAAGTTTTATGCGTCAATAATTTTCCCACAATCTGCTTAAACGACTACGAGGTTGTTAACGGCATATCCATCGGGGAAGGAGGCACGTTCTCCCCATGGGATATGTTGCCTGTGTAGCAGGTGAAAGCAACAACACTTAGACAAAGTTGGTTTCCTTTTTAGAGAAAAAAAATCGATTATGCCACCGGACCAAAGACCCAGATACTTCACTGTAAGTCTACCACTGTGGCATTCCTAAATGAAATAGCCCTGGAGTGTTTGCTTTGCACTCCGCGTTCTCGTCTACCTTTATTACGGAGACGTTCAGTATTATTTCATATTCTAACATCATTATTTCGCTGTGATTCACAGGATACGGCAGTAATTCTCGCTGCCAAAGAGGACCAGCCAGCCTCGGTGGATTTCCTGCTGACTTACAACGCATCCCTGGCCGTTAAAAAGGACAAAAAAGGCCTAATGGCAGCGGCCGTGGCGGCCAACAACGTGGAAGTGGCCCAGGCTACTGTGGCTCACGAGAGGTATAATTATTTCTCATCGATAAAATTAATGTGTGTGCACGCACAGGAAAAGACAGACTCTCTCCTTTTTTTCACAAATGGCTTTTAATTCCGCCATCAGATGGACGGAGGTTCTTCGCTCGTACCTGATCGAAGAGCCTGAGGCTACTCGAAACCTCATCAGTAAAATGCCGGAAGTGTACAAGGTGAGTGCTTCTTGCGTACCTGCACACTCGGAGGAGTTGTTCTGTAGAGTATTGCTTTTTACAATGACAAGTCTGAACCAATAGTGCGAGCAGTTTATCCCAACTGAACTCTCAGAAATGTAAAATCATTGCTTCTCAATAGGGAAATTCAGACTGCTCGGTATTGTGCTGCTGCTACAAATTTTGGCGTTTTAAAACTGCTCAAACTGAAAATCAAAAGGCAGTACAGAAGTTGTAGCCGCTAAAGATAAGTCATTAATGTGTATCCGTTGCCAATGTCAATCATCCTTCGTCCTGGCTCCCTGCAGCATTTGTCTTTTGTATCCTCTGGATGACAGCATTTTGACAACGACTGTTTCTCCTAATGTCATTTGATTTGACAGAGAATTTTGGATCGATGCCTGACGAGATCAGCACAACCACCAGTCAGCGCCGACTTCTGGGTAAATTGTTTGATTTTTTCCTCTTTTCTTCAGTCTCTGTAATGACCAACTAAAGCTCGAAAACACGGTTCACGCACGTTTTCAGGGCCAAAACTGTCCATGTAGTGTAGTTTTGAAAATGATATCTTTGAAAATGCAACTTTATTTTGTTTCAGTTTGTTTGGCCACTGAAGAAGTATTTTGGCTGATTTTTTTGTGCTAATACAAATCACATTCTAGTGAGTAAAAGCGTGATATCAAACCGAGAAACCTCATATTTCGTTATACTAAAATTGCCCGAATTTCTGGATATTTGATCTCGTGTATCGCCTTGTCTTCAACGTTATTTCAATTCATAACAGTACACCTGTCCAGTAAACAAAGTTTTAAATAAGTTTTAAGTTCTCAAAAACATTTTCATCAAGCAACCTTTGGTCTTATAATTTTAACCCGTTTCCATAGAATGGAATGACGTCAGGGCAATGGCGCCTTATTTAGCGCATGGAAAATCTGAAATGGTCAAAAGAATGCAATGTTTTCGATACAATTATCCAAAGCGAGGTGTCAATAATCTCCTTGCATTTCAGACAAATAGAAAGTTACACAAATTGGATCTAACAAAAAAATTAGCCTGTAACTTTTAACTTTTCCCGTTCTTAAGTTAGCTCGGACCCAACCAGTAAGGTCTAAAGACCCACAATTTTCTGAAATGAATATTTTCTTCCGTCAGGCGAAATATGACTTCACTTGCCTGCAACCACCTCTGGAAGAACGCATTCGAAGTAGGAATGAAGGATCGTCCATCCCACCTCTGCACTCACTTAACGTGAGTTCCTATGTAGTTCCCATATAGAAAAGACCCAACTCCAGATTTTCCTTTCTCTGATAACATTTTATTTCTCTTGCGTTCATGTTTTACATGTCATTTTATCAAATGAGTTAGTAGGCATCAAGCGCAGTGAAATAGGACTGACAATCTTATCAGCGATAAAGGTAAACTGATCATAAACATTAAGGTCATCGTCGGTTTGTCTCCTTGCATAGATTTTAATTACCTGCCATGATTTCTTTGTCATCCTGTGTTTGATGTTATGATCTACAGCTCATGGTAGAGAACAATCATATGGATTTGCTGTCGCATCCGATCTGCGTCGAGTACCTAAATATGAAATGGTAAGCAATTGACAGCATGTTCTTTGCTTTCATTGCTCTGGATAATCTACTTGAATACTATAATTTCTCGGGAAGATTTCAGAAACAAAAGTACAAGACTCCGGGTTCTGTCTGTCTTGGAGGATGCGGGCGATTAACCAGACACTTAGCGCCACTGTCCCCTCATTAACCGGAGGTTAGCAGACCTGTGAGGATATCGGCAGGGCCCCGGCCCTTAAATTGCTGAAACAGCCGGTCTTTGCGGGGCCTTTTTTAAACTAGGTGCTCTGTGTCTGAGGGATCCCCACATACCCGGCCGCTTTCTTTCTGATATACTGTTTCAGTGAAACAGCTTTGTTAAGCTCTTAGATGGTACAAACTCTACGAACGCATGTTACTATTCATATTGAACATAGTGTATTATTCTTTTTTAATTTTAATGTATCTGTGTCTTCTTGGTATTAACTGTAAATCGCCCTTGGGTTAATTTAACGTACGGTGTTTGCGAAATCCATTTTGTTATCAAGACTAATTATAGTATTCCAATGCACGAAGCAGCGTAACGCACCTGACGAAATGTTTCACCTAATCCTCATTTACTGTGTGATACAAATGAAGGAGATCTTACGGTGTTTGGATCCACACTGCTGCGATGGCGTTCCACGTTATCTTCGTTGCTTGCATGACGTTTTTCATAGTCGGCTCGTCAAAGTACTACGATAAGAATGCCAACCAAACCCTCGCCAATACCGGTCTTAACGCTACCCCCGTTGCCACTTCTACGGACATGCAGGACTCAGATGAAAACGCTTTATCTGATGTATGTATAGAAAACCAGATTTGTACTTTTTTTATTTGGTTCTTTTGTTATTTTTGTTTTATGTTCCTGCAACAGACAGGAAATTTAAAAATACAAAATGAAGTTACGTGTTTTTTTCTGTTACTTTCCCATATAATCGTTCCGAACCTTGATGAAAGTCAGTAGCAGATTATTATGTGCACTAAGGCAAAATAAGTGAATTGCATTATGAGCAGCAAAGCATATATGCTTAGTTAGAGTAGAAGCAACACTAATATAAGTTAATTTTAGACTGATCATGAGATATCTGAGCAGTGCATGGCGGTTTCGCTGTGTCACCGTCAGCGATTTTTAACGATGAGAGCAAGCCTTGGTACAACTACGCCTTAAGTACCGGTAACCTTTTACCTTGATTCAACCGGTCTCTGGTCAATACAGGCTACAACCACCCCTTTGTGCAAGTTCATGCACCCCCTTGCCGGGTTCCCTTATTTGAACTTTTGAAATGTACAGTACATAACCTTACTACTGACGTTAACAATAACTTGAAAATGTTTTGACCTTTTGATGCTTATTTTCGTGCAGTGGATGCTTGCCTCCGCATACGTCATGGTCATATTTTCTATAATTAACATCGTGAAGGAATGCGGACAGATATATAAGGAGGTAACTGCTTAGCTTAACATCGCTTACGAAGATCGTAAAAGTATTGACATTTTCCCTTTTTAAACATTTGCAAATTCTCTACAATTTCTATATTACGTACAGTAACAGCAAATACAACTGCCTTTCCATAGTGAGTCTATGTCCCAGTATTTGCATGGAGAGATCATTTCTAGGGTGGGGGTATTGTCAGTTTTTTCAAAGCGCGTATAACCCACTCTGTTTGGTTTATATACATCTTACCATGGAGCTTACTAAGAAGCAAGTGAATTAGGACAGCAATTTTAATTAGGACACGAATTAATGCATAAGCTTCCTGGCATACTTTTAACCCAAGCCCAGAAAGTATTTCAGAGACTTCATCAACTTGTTGGAGTGGGGTCTGTACGGATGCACGCTGGTATTCGCAGGTCCGTTCGTCCTTGGTTACGAAAAATGCAAATACAACGATATTTGCGATTCCCAGTGGCAGTGTGGAGCAGTGGCCGCCTTCCTTGCTTGGTTCCTCATGCTCTTGTACCAACAAAGGTAGGCCCTGTTTACGTATCTTTCTGTTAGTTTCTGTAAGGCATGAAGTGTGGAATTTTCTCCCCATACGAAAACATTAAAGCGAACGTACAGTGAGAAAACCTAAATGCAGTACTTGGGAATACAACTTTATGTCGTATGCTTAAGTTCATTTGCATTTTTTGTTTGTTGTTTCAAAAGGAATTCTGTTACCTTGTTGGTGACACGATATTCGTGATCAAATGTATGTTGCCCGTGGCGAAACCTCAATAATAACTCATTTCTGTTCAACACCCACTACGGTTTATTAAACTACTTAGTTGTTGCACATTTGCCGTTGGTAGGTGACCTTTGCTCGGTAATTGATTGCTTGCTTACATTACAGTAAGCCCCTTGTAATATGACTTAGCCATTTAGCGGTCTTATCTTATAAGATATTGATCACACTTTGGATTCACAATTCAAACAGTAAACCCCTCAATTGAGAATTTTGGCAAATCTTTGTAACACGAGCGTTCTTTGTTACGGTTCTGTTTTCGTTACAGGATAAATGCGGTTGGTATCTATGTAGTGATGTTTCAGGTGATTCTGAAGACACTTGTTCGCGTGTTGGTTGTTTTCGTCACCCTTATCATTGCTTTCAGCATGTCTTTGCACATGCTAATGCAATATGAGGTAAGTGTAGTTATCTTGTACTAAAGGATGTCTGAGTACCCATCACCGCCAATAAACGACGTTTTTAAAGCAAATTGCTGCAATACAAAGGGTCCGGATAGTGCCTTAGATAAACCAAAGAAGGACGAAAATAAAGATCGGTTGAGTTAGCTTCCATTGCATAGCAGTAGGTCCTAATGGCTTCGTAATGAGGAGGTTTACTGCGTGATTCCTTTTTATACGCCTTCTTACCCAAAACAATCAAGCTAGTTGTCATCCAAGGTAAACAAGCTCACTTCGTTGCATGTTGCCGACGTATCTAATTCTCGCGTGTACATATAATAATTCGCGAGATTTCGTTTCGTGGCGTTTTGTTGTAAAAGCCTATAGTTCATTATTGACAGTGGTGAAGAGCCAGAGTTGATTAAATTTCTGGAAGCGGTTGGTCGATCTTTTCTATTGCACCATTCTTTAATTAAAGGGTACTTGTATAACCCTCAGTGGTGAGTTATGAATTCTAGCTTCAATCAGGATGCGTGTTGGGTGCAGTCATGTCCCATCTTTTAGACGCACCGACTTATACTGAATGAATGGATGAATGCATTTTAAAGGAAATATGGAGTTGGATTTTTTGTTGCATGATAACGAGGATCTGAAGAATGATAGTTTGTGTGATGCGATGACTGTTTTCCGGGAAATCCACTGCATCCACGGAATAGAACCATTATTAACATAAAACTTCGCAAGGGGCATACCGTGAATGATAAGGCACTGGCTTGCTGGAACGGTGCCGGATGTATTTATCAGTGCACCTGTTCTTTGTTCGCGCAGGAAAACCATGCTTTCCAGACCATACCGTTGGCAATTTTCCGTGTGTATACCATGATGATGGCAGAGATAGACTTCATCAACTCCTTCGTTGGTCCCACGACGGATAACGACGAGACGACGATGACTTTCGAGCACCTGACGTTCGCATTCCTCACGCTGCTCATTTTATTCTTACCCATCATTCTCATGAATCTGTTGGTGAGTGTATACCGCTGCATTGCAGTGTAGTTTATAAGTGGGTACCAATAATTGGACGAAAGTGGACAGATCTAAAAACATAGAGCGATGTGGCAATAAGTAGCTGTCTGCCCTGAATTGAATTAGTCTCATGTGACTGTTGTTGCTTGGTAACCGACTCATTTTGGGGTATTTTCTGCCCGAATGGTACGTAGCAGTATACCGGTACTGTTGAATAGCAGTATGCCGGTACTGTTGAATAGCAGTATACCGGTACTGTTGAATAGCAGTATACCGGTACTGTTGAGTAGCAGTATGCCGGTACTGTTGAATAGCAGTATACCGGTACTGTTGAATATCCTAGAAATGACTGTATTGTAAATATAATATTAGAAAAATAACCACAGTGCCACACCAACTGGTGTTCGTCTCTTCTAGTTAAGATCAGACCATCCTGCCTCCATGGCAGAAAAGCGCTCCTCTGAGCCCTGCTTGCGATGTTCTGATCAATCACAGCTGCGATCACTATCGGCTGTGCGTGCACAGAAAGTCCAACATGCGTGGAAGAACGTGATGTGCGCAGTTGGAGTGAGTCGGTAGATGAGAGTGTTATTTGACACGATAGGATCAGTCACTAAATTCAAATTACGAGTGATTATCAGACCCTGCTGCCGACAGAGACAGCTGCCCTACATATAAAACGTGGTAGCTCTATGGATAGCTTACTAGTTACACAGCATTCTAACCACGAACACTAGCGTGTCATCACAGGATCATTTGTTAAAAGTGTAAGACCCATATTGTAAATATATTTTTTAATGATTTCCTCAATCCATTATTATATACACATATGGACTGGCAATGAGGTCACTAGTGCACGTCTATGTCCCCGAAGGACTGTGAGCAACCAGCAAAGGGTCTGATTTCCGCAGGTCCCTCTGCTGGTCATTCAGGCGCGAGGGGTATGGGCGTGCATTACTGACCGAATTTGGCCAGTCCATATGCGTTTTATAACACACTTCAAAGACGAAAAATATTCTTGAGGTTTTAACTGTTTTCAGTCAACTTTTAATAACATTTCAAAAATTGCAATAAAGTTGAAGATTCATTTTAGTGCCCTTTGACGCAACGTAATTTTGAGTTGCTATCCCGTTCGTAAGTGACTTCGTCACAAAGGCGGACGCACCACGATTTGCAGGCTCGCATTGGACGGTCGCTGAAGTTGCCCGTTAACTTTCGGTTCTATGGTTCAATATAAAGGGCGATTGATGCATTAACTCTGTGTGATGTGCAGTGCATGTGCAGTGGGCATGGTTTAAACTGAAGTGACTTGACACAAACCGGATACTCAACAAGGAAAATAATTTTTTAGGGTTTCAACTGTTTCAATTCAACTTTTCACTCGATACCAACTCAAAAATTGCCCAAACTGAAGGTTCATTTTAGTGTTCATAGAGGCCGTCAAATTTTGAGTCGCTGTATACAACTAGGAAAAGAAATGTTCCTGGGTTTTAACTGTTTGAAAACGGTCGATTCACAATAGTACGCCTTCAAGAGTTTGCAACCTGATGACCAATTCCAGTGCGCGAAATCTGTCGACTGTTTCCGAATGCGTATTAGGTCGACAGATTTTACGCACTGTTATAGGTCAACGCGTTGCAAACTCTTGGAGGCTCACTATTGTGAATCGCCCATACTCAACAACTTTTAAAATGAGCCATAGCAACCTCCAGAGGGCGCAATAACCAGTCAAAATTTTTCAAGACTATTTCCTGACCGGATCCTGACCGGATCCTGACCCAATTCCTGGTTTGGAATTGATACGCGCGCGTGTGGAGTCAAGCTGAGGCCTAATTCGTGTACTAACCCATATTAGTGAACCACACGTGACTTTAATTCGGCCAACCAGGATAAAGAACAAGGAAGAGGTGTGTTATAAATATCCACTTTTCTATTAAGTACATTTTTATACGACTCTCCTTAGATTGGTCTCGCCGTGGGTGATATTGCCAAGGTGCAACAGGACGCCAAACTCCAGCGGCTGGCCATGCAGGTTGAGATGTACACCGACATGGAACAGAAGATTCCTGCCAAACTGCTGGACTGGGTGGACATGGACTACGTCTTGATTTTCCCCAACAAGAAAACGGCTTGCCAACGTGAACACTATGTACGTCCTACCGAGGTTGAAAGGGGGGGTATTTTTCCGATCTTTGCGTTCCTTTGCTGATAGTGGCAGTTAATAGGCACATTGCTCAGCGCAAAAACTGTGTTTACAAAGACGCACATAAAATTCACCAAAGAAATGTTAAAATCAGTCAAACTAAGATAAGAATACTTATCTAATAAAAACTAGGAGAGTGGGTGATTTTTCTGTGGAGGTTAGGAAGGGATATTCTCAGACGGCATAATTCGCCAGTTAGTCAGTTTATTGTTCATTCCTTTCATGTTGGGACTGATGTTGATGACTCATTTTTTCGTATTTATTCTCTTCAAATGATGTAACAGTCTGCAGAAAGGATTGTTTTTCAGCTTCAGGCCGGAAAGAATAGCTCCAGAGAATTTGGAATGGACATTCCAGCCATGAAAAAGAAAAGCCCCATGGCAATCAATGAAACGTCTTTTATACTATTTGCCCACGACTTAACAGGTCGGCCAGCCTAATTGATCCCACTGAATCATCTACAGGGGAACAAGATGTGGAGGAAAATGAAACACGTCTTCTTTGGGAAGGATAGCAACTTGGAGCAAGTGGAGTCGGCAATGAGGAGTGCTGGCCTCTCGAAAGGTTTCCAGGAGAACGGGCAGACCTGTAATTCAGAGATGGACGTCTTGAAAAACAAGTAGGATAAATTGATATCCCTCGTTTTTTTTTAACTCTTATGAGGGTCAGTCTGCTCCGGGAACGTGACAACTGCACGATTAAAAGAAGTTGAACGAAACGAAATATACTATCACACAAACCAAACATAATTAAATTCAACAAAACTTATTCCACATATCATGACGAGACGTGCCTCGAGGACAGGTTGACGACCACTGTCCTTGGCGGCCACGCCTGTTTGCCTTATGTAAGCCAGGAACCTTAATCTATGCTAAATCAAATTCCTCACTGGCATAGGCTAAATAGTTTACCTAGCAAAACTTTAAGAGAATGATAACTCGTTCAGACTGACTGATGGCCAAGTTGTACACACTGCGTAACCCAAGAACGTTTGATGCGTATATAAAACACATCAACATTTGAACACGCGGTGCGTTTAAACATGAAGGTGTTTAACACATAAAGTGCTTATCACTGGGACATTAAACGCCTGTTTATAGTTGCTTAAAACGTGAATTCCATTATATTCTGCCAATACTCTCTAGTACCAATGAAATAAACCTTTTCGACGTTTGCAATACATGATGGGTTTGGATGACAAACAAGCAATGCATTTTATGCACCAACCCTATAAGGGAGTGAAAGTCAGAAATCAATAAACAGTTTTCTACTAATTTTTTTTATGTATTTGCTCCTCATCAACTCACAAATGCATGCGTATTATACAAGAAACATTTTCAAAATAACAAATAAGTTTTCAAATGTTTGTAAGAAGAAGAAATCACCCTTAAGTGTCTTTTTTGAGGTCACCAGTCGCTCTACAGGCTGAAAATGAACGTGACTGGTCGATGCGAGATGAATGAGTCGTGATTTTGATTGGACAATACTAATGCATTAATATTCACGATCTTAGTAAAAGCATGGTCCATGACAAAAGTGGTGTTGTTGGAAGAGAGTCTCCGAATTCTGCCAATACAAGCTTTAAACTTCGAAGTTTGTGAATATCTTCGTCCCAAATCAATAATGCAACCTTTTGTCAGAAGGGGGTGGCTTGAATTGGAGTATGAAAGTAAAATGGAAACGGGTTAACGTTTTGCTGGTACACTACTCCCATAGGGTGCATGAAATACATTGCATGTATGTCATCCAAACCCACAATGCATTGCGAACGTCGAAAAGGTATATGCAAATCTCATGTTGTAAGTGGTAAATTTACTATTGATATAACGTATAGGTCCGAATATATGGAACATAGTGGATTTTCACTTGATTATTACAACCAAAATAAACACCGTGTTTCAGTTGTACCGCCTAGTGCTTAAGACTCGACTAGGCCTATATAGGCACATGCGCTGTATGTACACGCACGTGCATGCGCAGTTCGTTCTCTGTCGGCGTCCATCCCCCGCGCGTCTCCTCGCTGTTGTTAGTTGCAAATGTAGAGAAATCGGACTGTTCAGAGTTGCATTTGTTTCTTACCCAAGTTCGTGCGTTTAATGTGCATGGGTATTTCACCGAGGATCTCGGATGGGTAACAATTTTCTGAAAAAAAAAAGGTCTGTCAACAGTATTTCGACCATTTTAGTTCCCGTGTTAAGTCGCAGCAGTTGGCTTGCCACTCTTCACGTCACAGCATATGATTTCTGTGAGTGTATGCCACAGCTACCCAGTAATGTGCAGTGAATAAACACTGCACCCTTCATAAAGGGTCAAAGTGTTTAAAAAGTGCTTCAGCCTGTACACTTGTTTAGGCGTTTAAGTTTCTTAAAGTAATAAACACACTAATGTGTTTATGATTACAAAGTGTTAAAAATCATAATTTTACTAAACAAATCCACGTATTAATCATAAAATACGTTGCGTTTATTAAACAAACAGTGTGTTCAGCATATAAACATGATGGTGGGGTATATTTATAAACTATCAAAATGTTTAAAAAGTGTTACAGATTTCCGTTTAATTTGCGTTAAGAAGTTAAACGCTTGCGTTTTACGGTGCATTTATGTCAAGTTACCGTCCCCACAGACATGTTTTAAATTTGATAGAACTTGAAAGCGCCAACACTTTAGAAGGAGCACTGACATGCAAAGGGGAAGTTGTCCGAAAAAAAGGACAACTATTTCAGAAAACTAATCCCTAATTTACCTCTCCTTCACCTGCAAAATCTGGATGCGCCACTGGTTCGAACACCCCGTGTGTAATACGCCAGTGGGACTAATTACGGTCCTATGACCATCGAGCTGGACCAAGAGGAGCGCAATTTTCCCAGCAATGGAGTCGCCCTTTGTCGGAACTGCACCTCGTTGGTACAAGAACGACTGTGAAGTGCACCTGTTAAAAAAATGAAATAAATACTTCCGGCAAAATGGCTCTTTTCAAATGATGAGGGTGCTTCTGCTAAAGGCCGATTCATTTCATAACAGAACTCCAAAGATGCCTAACCTCTTTGCACTCCATTCATTAGTACAGTCCTTTCGTCCTCTTCATCACAGGATAAAGTCACTGTCCTTCCAGATGGATAAGCAGTACGACCTCCTGCGTCTCATTGTTCAGAAGATGGAAATTACCACCGAGGCCGATGACCAAGATGAAGGCACAGCACCCCCTACGGAACATGGTTCGCGACTCAGGTCAGTTTCTATGGTGTAGATAATCTAGCCGTTGCCAAATAAAGTGACATCACAATAGTACTGTTCTGTCTTTAAATTTTGGGATGCAAACAGGGCAATCCTTGATATCAAATTTTAAATCTTGGCTATCCTGAATGTTTGAGAAAATCTCTATTTCAGATATGCAACGAAGCCAAAGTGCTCCGGAGCCAACGAGAGTAAAATTCTCCTCGATTGTTGGAAACAGCGCAACGACTTTGATGATATTCCAGCATCTTAGCATTTTTCTTTAGGATACCCTGTAGAAACAGCGCGATCCGGCCAGTTCGCGTTTTTTTTTTCAATAGATATTACGTCACAGGAATGACAGGCACAGGTGAGTGTTTTCGTGTGGCGCCTTATGTTCAAGTATTCCCTCATATTGTTTTTTTTTCAGAATTGATATGGGTCAAGTGGTGACGGCAGCCGCCATGATGCGAGACGGGGACAGGGAGAGGCGTCTCCAGTTGTACCGTTCGCACCGCAAAGAATCATCTGGAATTAAACCTCCAGAACCGTCCGTGTAATAAGCTGGTAAAGTGTGCGCTCCTTTCTCTTTGTGAATTGTTAATCAGAGTGATTGGGAAAGCATGTGAAAGAATCAGGTTTAACAAATTTTTATTATAGAAATGTGCAATATCCTTTTTTTTTCATTACGCACGTTGTCGACCGTATGCTTAGATTTATGTAGGCCTCCTTGCATACTATTTCAATCATGTGCACTACACACTACGTGTTAATTTACTATTTTTGTGAACTTGTTCTCCAATAGGGCTAGGTTAGGAGCAGTTGTGAGCAGTGTTTAGCACATAATAATCATGAGAAACAAACAAAACGTATTTGTAGGTTATTTTTGAATATTCCGAAATGTTTTCATTAGTATTGGAAAATTGGGAACTAAAATTTTAAGGCATAACATTTCAAAGGCAAATAAGTGAGCAAGCATTCAAATGCACGTACGTCTGCATCATGAAAAGTTGATCCCCCACTTGCGCACTTTTGGAAGTTTCTCCGCCAAGCAATTGTACAATTTTAGGAGTCCCACACCTACTCGTTGTCATCAATTTACATCACAAGAGAAAGGCAGCTCTACCAAATTTTTGTAGCACTTCCTACTGGTTATACGCCAAACGTTCCGCTTAACTTGACATGGGGAGCAGCTGTCGTTCATGAGCTTGGCAAGAGAATGCACGGGTAAGCAGAACACGACGTCATTACGTCCCCATGGCTATATTCCACTAATTGTTATGCGCTGCTGTTTTTATCATGTTGAGACGCTAGGAGTTGTGCGCATTCTGTGGAATATAAGTCATTCGTTGAAGGGAGTGGCACCCACGCGAATAAAATATATTTAAAATTGCCTTCCTTGGCTCCAGTGAGAAGCTCGCGCTGAATAATGTACAATATTTGCGTTGAGTCTTTCGGAATACTCAGTCGAAACAATATCTAAAGAAACCTTTCAATCTTTCAAATAATATTATTATGTCATCTGTAAAGCAAACGTGATATTCTGCGAAACAATTGGTCAAACAGAGTTTCTTAAACCTCGTGTGAAAACTTTGACTGTGTTAAATAAAACATTTTGATGGTTTTAATTATCGCGGCGCAATTTTAAAGTTTTTACCAGATAATATAGCATCCCGCCAGCGGTTATTACTTTCCTTTAGTACATGTATAGCTAACTACTATGTAAGCTATCAGACAATAAATGCTACTGGGGGTATAAGTTCATGTTATAGTTTTACAGTTAAAATCGTAGTACGAGAAATTCGCCAACCTTTTTCTTAATTTGCCATTTAATTCTAGTAATTATCTGTAAAATAAATGTCTATTTAAAGAATTTTATTTTTATGACATAGTAGGTTTCTTGAAAACAACAAACAGCAAAACATCAAACCAGTATTGCATTAATAACGTCCATAATAATTGTATACTAACTTTATGACACATGGTGATAATGGGAAAGAGACACAATTGTTGTGGAATTAGCGCATTATAGCTGAGTGTCTTAGGTGTTGCAAGTAAATATTTTGGGTTACATGCAAGTACGTGTATTAAAGAAGACATTCTGCCCTTATACTGTGACACGGTTATCGACAAAGCTTAGACATAAGACCAATTACATTATGACCATCTAGTTTCTTTGCTTTCCTGTTATCTTCGTAGTGAAGATTAAGGTTGGACTTTTTGTAATCTCTCACTGCTGAAGCGACAATTCTCAGGGCGAGCTTGTTAACAGTGACACGTCAGGGTAACATCCCATGTGATAGTAAGTGCTCGTGTCATTGCTGATTTATATTTTTTTCAGCTGAATACGAGCGAAGTTGTTTCAAGAGAACTCTCTACTTCACCACGCTCTAAAAAGGGTTGCCATTTTAACTAACGATTGCTGACATCTTGTTTTCATGAATCCAGAGTCCCTAAACTTTGACGGAAATTTGGGAGCATTTTCCTTACTTTGCAATAGCTTAAAATGAAACCCAAGTCCTTGAAACTTAAACATGTCCAACCTGTTAACACCCACTCAGTCTTGGAGCTCTTATGTTAATATTTACTTCTTTTATCACTACACCTTTAGTACATCTTTTGTGTGTCACACAGTGCTTGGAGGTTATAACGTCATTTGATATATACGACATAATCAAGAACCACACTTGTATATAAGTGTTATCTCCGTATTACCAAGTTTCAAAATATGAGTACAGGTCTCCTCACTGAAATTTGCCGGGGTAAAACACTTCACAAAGTGAGGTTGAAAATTGCAACGGCTGTGATTACCCAACCTTGGGATTTTGGGTAAAATGTTTTGTGTTTACTCCAACTTTACTGACTTCAGATAGCGCCTTCAAATTGTTTCCGCCATATTTCAAAACGGCTAATTGGTTTTTGGCAGCGTTGTTCGTTTCCTTTTGAGAATTTTCTTTCTGAGTATAATGCATTTTGTAAATGACAGCCTTAAACATGTACAGTATTATAGTGTGCAGAATCAAATTGTGCTGAAGTTGTTCATTCGCTGTTAATACATTCCGGACCCTTGGGCGTTAAGTGGGTTACATTTTGCTTGACACAGTTTCACACCGTAAATTACTTACAAAATTACAACCAAAGGATACTGGTAAAGTATGATACGTTTGGAGTAGTGTACGGGAATGGATTCACGGTATACGGTAATGGTTCATGGTAGCACCTCCATTGCAGACAGCTCCACGCGCCGTGCAAACTGATAGTTAGACGAGTTGTGCATAGCGTCAGCTTCAAACATCAGAACCAAAGTGGCTGTGCTATCGGGTACTATTAATGTGCACCGATGCGCTCATGTCGCAACCCTATACAAACAGCTTTGAAGTCATATTAGTCCTACATAGCGCCCTCATGGGGAAGAAACGGGGAGAAGGGGGTTGGAAGCAGTGGATCACCGAACCCTTCCTGGCATCGACGCGAAAAAAGTCACGTAGGCCTATTAATATGCAGTCATTGCGTTAGGTTTGTGCACCTGATATCCCAGTTGAAATGTTTTGTGTATGTAGCGAATCTCCTCTGATCTGATACGGTACGGAGATTTACCAGCAGAACAAGGAAATCTCAGAGACAGCCTTTGGCTGATTAATTAAACAAAGAAAAAAGACTTCTTTTCGGCACGCATGGATGTCTATTAAATGTGTATTTTAAAAAACGTTTTTTGTTTCATTGTCATGTTGTCGCTGACGCTGCGTTACACCTGTAGTGTGTTATGTATCTTAACTGGGTAGTTCCAGAATAGGTTTCACATAAAATTGACAAGTAAAACTGTCGGAAAGAGGGCTCAAACATGGCTATATGTCCATACTTCATGACCCATGACCAACGCGTAACGCATTAGAAACAGAGCTCCACCTCCATCCAATTTTAGAGTGGGCACACCGCTACGTATGTTCGGTCCCCATGGTCTCCATGAATTTAGTTTGTGCATTCGCGCATGCGCAATAGTGACATAATAGTCGTCGGCCTGAAAAAAATTATTCTAGCAGACGACGTATATCAGTGGTGACCCATGTGGGGGATTGTACTGCCATTTCCCTTGAAGACCTTGCGTGTGAATAAATTGCCAAGAATCTATCAAATGGTGATATTTAATAGCTTCTGGGGAAAAAGATCGCCGGAAAAAATCAAAGAAAGTGGAAAATACCAATTTTTCGACAAAGTATAATTAAGAAATATTTTCGTTTTTTTACCTAGCTTTGTGTCAAATTTTCTCGATTTTGCCGAGTTTACCTTAAAATAACTTTGATGCCACATGAAAGACTAGTAACTCTTGTGTACATAAAAGGTTATTACTGCTAGAGAGAAAATCCTTTTTTGAAATTCACTTCGTTTTTCATTAGGACCCATTTTCGTCATTTTCCTTGTTTTTCACCTTACTCATTTTCACATTTTTGTCAAATTCCCCTCAGATCATCGGTGATACTGTCTGGAAGACTGATATTTTTTGTACCTCTCAGTTAATTTTTTTCAAGATAGAGAACCATTTGTCTGAAATGCAGTTCGTTTTTCATGCGGATTCAAATGTACGCACTGAGTTTGGCAGCAGTCCAAAATCGGAGATATCCGGACTTGGGGCATGTTGCACACGTACGTACAACCTCCCGGATACGAGTGCGTTTGGGTACGAATTGGCCTACTACATTGTACGAATACGTACAGTCGCGTCAAATTGGCCGACTAAAAGGCACAAACAAAAACTTTCCGTTTTCATCCACACGGTTTCCTTCTTGCATGATACTTTCTCATTAGAGCGTTCATGATATTCCTCACCATTCAAAAGTAGAGAAATGACAGGGAAAACTGAAAAAAAATCCCCTCTAAAATGTTGGCTTCACTTCCAACTTCCGACTCTGTTACTTTGGAGGTACATAAGAAAAACGGGCAAAAATTTGAAAGAAAAAGGATTTTCATCGTGTGCAAGTTATCAAAAGGGACTTTGAGTGTTGAAATACTAATCGGTATGGAAATAAAGGGCAAACAACTTTTCCTAAGCTTGATATTGATCGATTACTTTTGGGGGTCCACCTGTCCGAGTCAAGAGCGATTTTACTGGCTGCTGGCTATAGTGGGATTCAGTACGCATGCGTACAGACTAAGTGAGGGGCATGAACATACGCGCTAACCGTATCTATAATAGTTCCAGACGACGGTGAGTAGATTCATCTTGTCTTTCGAATCGGCCCTTAACTTAACCAGAGAGGCGTTGTATTGTTAAAGTAATGACTCTAGAAGGAAAATATTGTGGGAACAAAACGCAGAACTTGTCCGAGGGGTAGCCTCGTGGTCAGTGTTGAGACTTTGCAGAACCCAGGCGCTGGCACCATTGACTGTTTGGCGTCTGTTTGAACCCTCCAAGAGTAACAAACTCTCGGTCGTTAACCCCCACACCCACGATCTATTCTGTGAGCAAATATTGGTTTTTGTAACAATAATTCTCGGGAGGGTATTCTTGGAGACAAGTTGAGTTTGCATGCGTAGTTGTTTAAAATGACGAAAATAAACAGCAAAGGTCAGTGACCACATCTCTTATTCCGTTTCTCAAATCCGTATAGTTTGAAGAATTTTTGCAGCTATGGTCATTTTGGAGTAAGAGCTTTTGGCTGCTGGCTAAATTTGGTGAAAATCTGCAATGGAATACACCCATGTGTGTCAATTATAACTTGGAATGAAGGAAAATGTGCAAGAGATGACATACAGTTTTTTCTTAGTATTTGACAGCACATTTCAGCGTTTGATTCAGCACAATGTGTGTATATTATGAAATTTTCCAATGCTGCATTACTTGCAGCCAATGAAGAAAATTTGCTTAGAAATATATTTGGCAATAATCCCAATCTCAATAATAATAAACTTGAAACCCACAGTAAAAGTCGTAGTCATATATCGGCCCTTTTGTAAACACACCAATTCGTACACGCTTTGAATCTGCAGTACGTGAACATCATGTGAACTCGCCATAAGGGCTTCTTCACGCTTATGCACACTGGTGGTACTCAAAACAACAATTTCGCTGCGTGAATTGTCACTGTGTAAATACACGGTGGACTCACCCTGATTTGTAATATTAGGATTGAAGGAGTATACGCAAATTCATGTTGAAAACGGGGGGGGGGTCCAACGTTTTCGGAAATGGACTATACGTTTCAGTTGACTTCCAGATACTGTCATTAATGCTGGCAAATTATAGACTTGCAAAATCATATCTCCTCTAATTTCGCACCATACGACGCAGGTGTCAGAAAGTTCCACGGATGTTTCTCTCTTTTGGTCTTGTATTATGTTGTGCTTTATTTTGGGAAAGGATATTTTCGTTTTGTTTAACATTTTGATTTCAAGTACACGTGTTTTCCCAGCATCTCGTCCAACTAGGTTGCCGTATCCAGAAGTACACGTATCTCTGTAAACGACGCACAGCATACTTCAGGCGCCTTTACATCTGTACGTTTTTTCGATGCGTTGCGTACATGCGTTCATGGACAAGAAAATCGACTTCATTAACATAACACACGTATGCGTTGCGTTCGGCCGTAAAAAATGGCCTCGAGAGCGATTTTGACGGATATGCAACGCTAGGCGCAAGTGCAGACGCGCATATGAAAAGGCGCCTTTACTGGTATATGTGCGGGATTGTGCTTCATGCTGTTGGCATTGTGCCAGATAACGTACATGGAAGGAGAACAAAAATCCTCACGCATGCACTTTGGAGATCCTCGGAGACTTATTTGGTTTATTTCTTGAACATGTAAACAAAGTTGTCTTGTATTATCTTGAACATGTAAACAAAGTTATATCGAGAGGGATGTAATGCAAGAGATATAGTTTCTTGTCCAAACCATTTGGCCAAGTTTAGCCTGTCAATGCCTAATTCCAGCAGCAGGTTTCACTTACCAATGTCTGAAAGAGAGGGAAAGCGAGAGATCATTGCTGAATCTAGAAAATGAGGGGATAAGTACCAATATTTTGTAGAAATGGTATTACAAATGATGCTTTAACATAAAAAAATTGAAAAATCTTTCAGAAAAGATATATATTTTTCCATCCTCTGACCAAGACGTGGATAGGCTACGCCACTGGGTGAGAAATCACTTCATCTTTTTTAATGTAATGCACTGTTGTCAAGTGATGACTTGATAGTGAGCCGAAGCTTTTAATAGCTCGTTCTTTGCTTAGTCGTATGTCCCAATTACTCTCAACTAATAATTTCGTCAACCAGTTTTTATTATCACCAAAAGTGATTTCTTGCATGAAACTACCGACATCTTATAACAATACTGTATACATCACTGGCTTAGTGGCATATAAAACGAGAATCCAGCTAATCAAAACAGACGAAATTGGAACAAATTGACCTTGAGTATTTTCTAGTCACAGGATTACATTCAGTTGTATTCAGAGTTGGTAAATTACAAACGCGTCGCAGGGTTGACCCTTTTATACAAGTGATTCATGCAAATATACATATAAAACTAAACTCTATATTTAATATACTTTCTAGATACAATGCACACACCAACCAAGGTAGATTTTGTAAGACATATTTTACATCAAAGGCAAGATATGGGCAATCTTATTCAGTTGTCGTGTGAACACCAAGTGCAACACACACCCTGAATTTAAGGTGTCAGGGGTATGATCAGCCACCATTGTTTTTGTAATGTTTCAAACTTAAAAAAAAACCAAAAACAAAAACAAAAGTAGGCAGTTTCAAAACCGAACAGCTCGTGGATTCGAAGCACAACACTAAAAAAATAAAATGAAGAAAAAAAAAACGGGGATGTTGACCCGACCCTCTCCACATTATACCATTTCATTTTATCATTCAAATGATTGCACGCGCTAAGCCCCCTTTGTCAACACAGAATTTACAATTATATGCTGCATTGTGCTCTTCCATTTTGTATCAAAACAACTTTTTACAAGGTCACAGTGTCTCCATCATTGTTACTGTCTGCAGGGTGTACATGGAGACTGACAGCTTGATGCCACAGGAAAAAATACGCTTTATCCGTAACTAGTGCATGAGGCGGTACATTATAATCTCACTGCCTTTAGGGAGAGAGTACATTTATCCACAAGGAATATTCAAGAGGTAAATTTTGATACTGAGGTCCCCTTTGAAAACGTATAAAATCTCAAGTCGTGATACGAACCCTTCACATGCACAACAGACATGTGACAATCAAGTGCTTTTTTTGAATACAATCCAAGGTGCTGCTAATGCATGCAGCCATCATCAACCTCCGATCTTTTTCAACCGATCTAGGAACAATTCATTCATTGTAGCAGATGAATGTTAACTCTTTACACTGCAAAAATAAGGATGTTTTCTCAATGTTCCCAAATTATAAGTAGTCATATTTTATCACATTGTAAGGAATTATTCAATCATCGCCAAAGCTCCATTCAATTTAAAAATACCTTTTGTTATACGAAGTACATTTTCTTTTAACATAAATCATCAATGACAAATATGTACACGTACACAAATGGAGGCTTTTCATTATAACGTACGGTACATCAGAGAATAAATCAGCGAAATTATAGATCAGAGTCCATATTTGTGTTGCGAATGTACAGGCACGCATCTGGCTCGGCAAGGCAATAAAATATTCGGTCATCACATTATGCGTAGATTTCAAGTACATGTACATTATATTTACTGGCTGAGGTACTTCCGTATATGATATGATAATGAAGGTATGGATGGATGATTAAACAGTTATATTTAGCTCAAACACCAAACATTTGCCACAATATAGCCTGATAAATATTTTAAAGCAGCATTGAATATTGAGTGCAGTTCAGCGCCATTAGGCAAATAATTATTACATGTTGTCATGAGAAAAATGACTCAGTGCATGTGTAATTTTGTTTTTAGGACCACCACTGTAACAAAATGCCCAATCCACTTGTCACAATACAATAATCGGGTCTTCGTTTACATGAATAGTATATGAGTAGATTTACAATGCCTTTTTGATATCTTAAGATGTCTCTGGAATTCACCAAATAAAACCATTGCTATTACTAATGGGTTGTAACAACCAAAATCAATGTAATAATATGCAATGGAATATTATCACGAAACGACAGTCATCAAATTAAACATACATCTAGTATAAGTCACGCAAATATCCAAAGTCTCTTAAAACAATGAGCAAAATAATTTCAAGGTCAGATTCTTTAAGTTATAATTGCGTGGCAAGTGAAGTGGCCACGTCTTTTGTTTGCCATGGTAATGGTAGATACTGTACTGCCTTCGTTATTTTCCTTCCCACACTTTCAATTTTGATTTCTTTAAAGACCCCTTTCGGTCCCATGTAACCTCACTTCGGATTTTTCTGCTTCCACCTTTGGCACCCTCCGTATCTAATTGGTTTTTTTTTCAGTTATTTCCACTGTAATTATCATTGATTGAAGAATTTGGCTTCACACCAGGCTGGTTTTCTCGGGATACAGACGGTGGCACATCATTCAATACAACTTTTGTCGATCCTTCGGGTTCTTCGCAGCTGGAAAATTGTGTTCTCCTATAGGCTGCTGGCTCTATTAGCCCATCTTGTATTGTTAACTCTACTGCACCTTCTATCGAGTAAGACGCGTTCTTACTGGAAGATGTCTCTCTGTGTGCACTGTTTGGTTTATACGAGACAGATGACATCAATTTCTTGGCTGTTTTTTCCTCCCTTGTCCCGATGGTGCTGATCAGTATCGCAATAAAAGACAAACCAAAAACGTACCAGAAGACTACTGCAACGTCGTAAATGATGTACAATGCCCCGGGGGTATCATGCTTTGGATCCAGTGTTGCAACATAATCGCCAAATCCAATGGTTGTCAGAGTGATGAAACAGTAATAATGTGCAATCCTGTAACTCCAGTCCTCCAACACCGTAAATATCCCAGCTGGTGCCAACACTAGAAGGCCGTAAGTGAAAGATCCCACTCCCAACCACACAATGAAAAGTCGCACTTTTCTTTTGGTCACAGAGCAGTAATCGCACAGAATGCGATCAAGGTGACCTCTCATGCGCCCAAACGACTCCTGATAGAATTTTCCAACAATTGAGAGTAACAAACCCGTAAATGGTATGCCAAAGATGGCATAGACAATACAGAAGTCTTTCCCGCCCTCGGTAGTGGGTGAACGCCTGCCGTAGCCTAGAGTGTGGTTAGATAGATCAAGAGACAAGAGCAAAGGTAAAACAGCAAAAATAACAGTTAACAGGATTACAGCTATAGCAAACTGATCATTCTGGAACGTAAGCATACCTAACATTTGAGAAAGAGCACCGGAGATGAAATAGTCACATTCAGATTAAGATTATGCTTTGGGAAACACTTTTGGTTGCATGGTCTATGCAGAATCCCGTTTGACTTCCCAAGAGTGTGGACAGGTACATGTATAGTATGAAGTATGCAGCGGAAGGTAGATCTGTAATGTAATCCCCGCTTCAACGAGATAGGGCGCTCAAGTTGTATCGATGTCCTAATATTTAGCTGACATATTACGATACCATGTAAACAGACTCATTTGTACGCATGTGCCTAAGAAGCACGACTGAAATACTCACCTATGGTAGTCACCACTGTACCAGAGAAGAAGAACGAACTGCTGAAATCCCAGTGAGCCCTACTGGAAACATTATGGAGAGGATTAATTCCGCGCTCTACGGCGTTCTTGATCCGTTTGACTAGCTTTTCCAAATCCTCCTCAGAGAGACATGTAAAATTTGACAGGATGGCCTCTTTGTACGCCCTCAATTCTGCCTTTGCCTCCTCTTCTTGAGGCGATTCCAAGGCTGAGAAGACCAGAGCTCCAATCGCCAGGTACAAAATAAAGGCAGCTACCAGGATAAGAAGGGTCTTCCAGTTCATCTTTGGGTACTGCTGTCTTGAATCCACAGTCTACAACGACACTACATACAGTACATGTATATTCTTTGCACGTTATGTCAGTGTTATGTTAGTCACTGCTCGTACGTACATGTACATACAGGGAGCACAGACATTTATACTGTCTTCTGAAGTGCACGTAATGTGTGAGTCCGAACTGCCAGTGGTGGTGCCGGAGTTCCGATGTACCCGTAGCTATCTCTGACATCAGGCGATGACGTGATACTCTGTCGGGTCAACAGGTGAATGCATTCACAAGGTTTGACTAACGCATTGCTTTTTCGTCTCTTCGACCCCGATTGAAAGATAATGAAGTGCAGATCTCTATTTTCATTTTCCCGGGAGAAGGCAAAACAAACAGATGCGTTTTTGTTTGGATCGCCCGAACAACCCAACTGTGCAGTGTTTCTAAGGCTGGGGTTTGCACATGTCTTGAACAATGGTTTCATTTTCATTAAAACGCAAATTAGAAAACAGAAAAGATAAACAAATGATCGAAGTTCATTCTTCTGTTGCGTACTGCCCCGCCACGAACATGAGACTTAGCATAAACAAGGCGGATATACAAACATGTAACATGTATACAGTTGGGGCAAAAAGTTTACATACACTTGGTAGACAAACATTTTTTCCTTAATTGTTCCGTTTGAAACAGTTTTGCCAACTTTTTCTTTATGAGGTCAGACAGATGGTATCTCAACTTAATGTGCACCTCAATAAAAATACTTAGAAAGATTTTTTATGGTGCAAAATATTAGTACTACTGAAACATTATTTAGAGAAAATTTACATTTACCCCTTAACTGAAAAATTGCCTGGGTTAATTTTAATCCCAGGAAGGGTGAAAGCTGCAACTGTCCAAATATGGGCTGTGTTAACCCAATTTCAATTATTTTCTGTTTCATTTTTCACTCACAAAATGAGTGGATATTAACTATTGTTAGGTAAAAAAAAGAAATTAATTTCAAACACCTAAATTGGGTTGAAACAACCTAAACTATTGTATAGTTGTAGTTTTCACCCTCCATTGGGTTAAAATTTAACCCAGGCAGTTTTTCAGGGTATTGTCGTTCAAAACACTTCAGAAATTGGTCCACTGAACTATGAGATATGACACAAAATACAGAATGTGGCACTTAATATTAGGGTTGACGTATGTAAAATTATGATTCCTTTGTGAATATTGATATGAATTATGTATGTCTCTGGGTGTTTTATTTGATGCATGCGCCATGTACATTAAGAAGAGGCCCATCTTGTCTGTCCTCATGAAAAGAAAAGTTGGTAGGAATGATTGAAGTTGTGAAATTTGAGGAAAACTGTTTTTGTTCTACCAGGTATATGTAAACTTTTTGCCCCAGTACACTCCAATGCCTGCACATTATGCATTATGCAATTATGTTTTCGAGTTCATGTATTGGCTTTGATGTCTAAAATGTAATTGGCAATGGAGTGCAAATGTTTAACAGCGACACGTGTATCTCTTATATTTGCGTTTACTCTTGTTTACTTTTTAGAGTTAATTTTTCACCTTTCGAGAAGAGGAGGCAGTGGTTTAAACAAATAAAATACATTTCAGAAAAGAAACAGAACACATAGCAGTTCATAGTTTGTTTGTTTCCAGTCTCTTCATTCACACCTTACCGCCTCCAGGCGACCATTTAAGCCCACTTCACAGTTGGAATCCCCGCCGTGTCTTAACGACGGGCAGAGTACACTGTCCGAAACGTCTGGTCCCCTCCTGTTCGGTTTAGAATCGTACATAGTCACATGGTGGTACCACAAACCTACTACTTACCAAAGAAAAACATGGTTACCTTTTCCAGTGTGTACACATACATTTGTTACATACAGGAGTTTGTGACAGAAATGAGCTGTCCATAGGGGAAAAACCAGTTGGCAAGATCTTATTTTCTGAGGTTGAAGAGATTCAACTTGATGCTCATACTGCGTTCACAGAGAAGAGGGTAAAGTTGGGTGTGGTACTATGTAATGTGTACATGAATTCCAGGACTGACCAGTATGTCGTTCAAACTGATGTTTAGAAACACCATGTAAACACACGGGGTGCGTGGCCCATCAAACGGAGTCCTCGATGCCATCCAGTGTTCATCCAGTGGAAATCATGAGGTATGTGAAGGAGCTAGAAGAGAGGGCTCCTTGAGCGGATTGGAAGTCGATCGGTAGCAATTGGCTTAAGAAAAAAGATGGCACAAACAGGATGTGTTGATAATCAGGCACGAAATGCTGTTGCGATAATACACACTAATAAATGAGACACTAGATTTTGCACGTCCATTAGCAGTTAGCCCCTAATTGAGATGTTGCCAAAAGTCTGTTTTTGTCGTGTGTAATGGTTTATACAGGCAAAAATGCATGCCTTGCGCCCTATGCAATGCCCCCTGCCACCTTTGAGAGACTGATGGAGAAAGATCCTCTTACGACTGCAGTGACAAATCATGTTGATTTACGTGGACGATAATCATCTTTGGTAAACTGTTCCGGAGGAAAGTGAACTTCTTCGAATAGTCTTTTATAAGTCGTGGGAGGCTGGACTACTGTTAAAGCCGAGCAATGTCGGTTGTTTCAGCGGCTGTTGCGTATCTGGGACACGTAGTGTTGGCTGATGGAGTAACATTGGATCCAAAATGTATCAGCTGTGGTTAAATCACGATGGCTGGTATCACTGCGTTTTACACAAGTGAAAAGCTTCCTTGTGCTTGCTTCCTATTGAAGGAAGTTCGTCCGTGGAATCTCAGAGCTGGTGAGTCTGTCGGATGAGTTGAAGGGCAAGCAACTGGAGTGATGCATGTCAACAGTCCTTACATGAACTGAAGCATAAGCTTCATAGAGCACCGATCCTGGCATAGATTTGGATGTAAGTGGTGATGCATTCGGTGCTGTGCTCTCCCAAGTTCGTCAAAGATTTTGTGTGCAAATTTGGGCTGCTGAAGGAACTGTATTCGATCAAGGCGCAAACTCTGAGTGCGTGTAGTGTTAGGCGAGATGTATAAGCCATTGGGAATTCGTAAGGCAAGAACCACAGCACACAACCCTAAGTAAAAGACATGTTGGAACGGTCTAATAAAACTCACATTGATAGTGTTATCATGCTGATCGACGATAAACGTAGACAAAGGGACATGAATGAATATCTATTCTGTACTACGTTTGTGCACTGATGCACGCCACAAGACTCAACGAGAGAGTCACATAACCTAATGATGCTTGGTAGAAATTTATGTTACCAGTGGACTTAGTGACTAACAGTCCAGATCTGCAGGAGGGGAAATATGTCTGGTTATATACAACCCAGTAACGAAGAGAAGATTGAGTCTCAAGCTCCGATAACGTTGGGGGTCCATTTCTAATCCTCGACAAGCTGTTTGACGTAACCTTTGTAGACTCCAGCTGAAAAGAGGGCAGCAATCCACGTGTTGCCCATTCGGACCGGTTGATACCCTGCAAGGGTTAAGTTGTCGAGTCACAGAATCTACGGCCCATACCAGTTACAGCGACTGACCAAGAAGCCATGGGAATAAATCATAGCAAAATGCTGAGGAAGAAACTCGGAAATATATTCTGAATGAACCACTCCAGAAGGGGAACAAAGACGTTTACCCGAGAAGCAGCATCGTTTACCTGCCCAAAGTCGAAACCAATACGGGTCGATGTGTTCACAGCGTTTTGTGTATTGTGGACGTTCCTTGCAAAAAGACTAGTTCGTGGCCCGGAAGCCCACCTTTTCTGGAAAAGATGTCACTTCCAATCCAGCAGGAGGGATAATCTCTGTGGACACTACCAACAGTGTCACCCGGAGCATTCGGAAAGGTGGTGGATAAGAGGAATGCAGTGCTTCCAGTTGACTGGGAAGTGGGGTCGATCAAACTGTCAAGTGTTTTAATTGTGTGAGAGAGGCACTGACCTCTGGGGCGACAGCACTTGCACTGAGTGTGAAGCCAAAGCACTGCAGTGTGGTGTAACACCGCCGCGAGCAAACCTTAGTGGAGATGTGGCGATGATTTGCCTTTCGCCACTGCCAACCCCCTCCCCATTGCATCGAGGACACATACATTTCTCCGATCTTTCTCTGTTGGCTGACGCGAATTTTTCTACAAATGGTAAAACAAAAAGCCCCCAATCACCCATGCCACATTTGAGTCCACTGGAGACTGCTGCATGTCCAATGCAATCAGTCAAGCTGTCCCCAAAGAAGAAAAACATGCGGTTGACCGTCTACGACAGAAACGTCCGCCATGCGAATACGTCGAGAGTATCTGCAATGAGCAAGAAAACAGAGCGAGTAAACAGACTTTGGTAACATCTAAGTTTCGTGATAATTGGCCTCTCATGAGTTGTTGGACAATACGCTTCTGCGGGACCGCTAAGATGGATCAAAGAGTATGGTCTGGGAAATGAAACAGATTTTTTCAATTCCTGAAGCAAAGTGGTAAAATGTTTTGGTTTTAAACACAGCATTATCTTGTTGTTTTATTTGCTAGCACGGTTTTACCTTTGTTGATGGTGTATTCAACCACTAGCAGGCCCTATTAAAACAGCAACAAGAAGGACCTCAAGCAGTTGCAGAGGACTTTTAAGGTTGAGAATAAAAGCAAAGTTAACCTCGGAGAGTGATACTCTTATTTTATTACTGGTTGGGGGTTCGTACCTCTATCCTTGGTTAGGAATATTTTGTGTAAATGATTTCTTTGTTAAGCTTAATAAAATTAGGATGTTTGACGGAACGAGCCAGCAGTGTAACGCCTGGGTGCCCAGTCTATTTCTTTTCTTAGTAAAATGCCAAAGTGTGCCCTAAGGTGAGCAAGTGTGAATTCGGTTCAGGTAGAGGATTTTACACTTGAACGGTACATCTTCCATCCAGGACTGGTGGTCGGGAGCTCAGTTTAGTTGCTAGTTTTCTGACGGATCTGAAGTGCTTCTGTTCCACTGAGCAGGAGTGCTGTGTTGGCTCGTTTAGATAAAAAAAAACTGTAAGTGGGTAAGGGGCTTACTGAGCTGAATTTCTGGCACTGCTCTGATCTGAACCAGTTAAATGTGCAGGTGTTTTGGCAGAGCCGGTTTGAGTGATTCTCATGTATCTTGGGTTTGATTAGGCTAACAGGTCATTTGTCAGCTTTGCGATATCGTTTTTGTAATTTTGTAACAGTGTATTGACATTTAGTCTCTATGACATATTGCCTAGACATGACTCGGGAAGTTTACTGAGAGCTCTCCTACCCGTGCGATCCATTTC